CACAGGAATAGCTTTGTGCAGGAACAACCTATTAAGAACCATGTGCTTCTTCAAGTCTTCACTGCCTCACACTTTTTACTTATTGGCACATACTTTATCTCCTTCCAAATCACACTCTGCTAAAACTTGCTGAATGCAAGGATTTTATATTCTAACATCAGGAGCTTTTTTTGTTCAAGGACTTGATTGCACTGTTACATGCAAGACATACTCATTATAGGTTTTAAAATGAGATTTCTCGAATGCCCTGTGCAGGGGGTACAGGTTAGGAGCCCTCAAACAATAGTGAATGCGAATCTTAAGGCACTGCAAGAATAATGTCCAAATGTTTGGTTAAAAGTATACTTGACACAGTGTTTTGGCATACACTGACGTGATCTATGTTTCTCCGTCGTGAAACAGCAAGCTGGGAATTCTATACTATAAACTCGCATGGGTGATCAGCCATTGTGAGTTGTCATATCATGCAAGCCTAGTGCAATTTTTGCAAGGTGGCTTATTTTTTCATGAACAAGTCAGCCTTGAGAATCCATGGCTTGTTTTAGGATTGTTCATACCCATGGTGGCTTGTCATCCGAACCTGGCTTGGCAGACCCCTGACATCCATTGCAATCTCACTTGTGCTGCTAACCAGTTTTCCTTCTCAATTGACAGTTGCCTTTACTGTCCCACAACATTTCTCTCCATGATGCTGCTTTGCCATGACATTAATGTATGGTTCCTGATCTCATGTAATACTCTGTAAGTCATATCAAGATGTGGCAGCTAGCAATGGAGGAAAATGACAAGCAGGAAATAGAGACGAAAAGCAATTAAGGGTGCTTTGTCAGGGTGTTCTTTCTTTGGGAGTGGGTGTGTTTATTTTAATACTAAACAGACTTTTAAAAAAAGTTAGGAATCTAACTGTGGATGTGGAAGAGGGTAATCCATGGGTGCTTGGCAAAATATCAGAGGCAGACTTGCACATCACTGAACGTCCTTAGATTTATTTTTTAAAAGGTGGAAAACATATTTCCTTGTTTATAAGGGTTCAGAAAATTAATATTCTTTAGTGAGCTGATTGATGCAGGGCAAGGAGGAGTTTCTCTCAGTAGCCAGAAACCCCAGCAGATCAACTGGGTCTTGGGACAGGTATAGAAGCAATGAAGAATTTTGTCACAAAGCTTCCTGGAATATGCACCATGGCCAACACAAAGGCAGGGAGAGAGCAAGGCACAGCAAGTTTGAGCTTCTGTTGGGAATACCATAGAATATTCAGCAAAGAACTTCTCTATCTCCCTTTTTACACAGATATGCTCATTGCTCAGACTGTGAAAACCCTACTTGTTTGGTAGACTGTTACAATAACAATTTCATATACAAGGCCATATCCAAAAGAACTGATGCTGCTTGCATATTTGACACAATGCTAGCATAAGCACTCTCGACTGCAATGCTAACACTGTAAGCTGCCACAGCAGTATCTTTAATTAATGCAATCAAGTCATAGCATGGACTTTTATGCTGGGAGTTAGCAAAGAACCATCAAGTCCAATCTAGTTAACACTTCCATTAAACCATGCATGCAAAAGCCATTTAGATCACAGACAAGAGGAGAACCTAATTTCAAAGTGTGTAGTTATAAAAAGAAATAGAATTTGTTTTAACTCATGGTCAAAATTATGGTAAAATATTTCAGTGTGTTATACTTTTTCCAAATCATATCCATATTTTAACTAATCTTGACAAAACCTGCAGTAAAGCTTTGATAAGGTGATGAGCACTATGTTTACTTATCTGAGATTAAGCCCCATTGACCACAGTTAGACATAATTCGGGGGTGGGGATGCTCAAACATTTATGTCCCTCAGGATAGAAAGGGGAGTTTCTGTTTCTCTGTTATTAAAATTTAGCTGCCTTTAACATTACATTTCTCCTGCAGGACAATTCACATGCTCAGACTTTGTCAGGCCATTTTAAGTTAGCTTTTACAGTTTTTGCAAACTTCTGTTATGCATTTGTAGCACACTAGAATCTTTGCTGTCAGTATATACAGTTGTTTCCCCTGTTAGGCACTCTGGAAACCCTTTGGAGTTGAAAAGTAATGACTAAGTAACATGTAAATAATGTTTGGGGGCTGTGTGGAAATGCAATAAGCCACTGGGAATCCTCACGTGCCATGCAATGAGGCTGCTGAACTCTAGGTTAGAAGAGTACTGTGGTACCTTGGCTCATGAACTTAATCCATTCCACAACTCTGGTTGCGACCCAAATTGGTCGTGACCCAAGTCAAATTCCCCCATTAAGGTTCAAAGTAAATAAGGTTAATCCATTCTGTAACCAATTTTTTTAATCACAAAAATTTGAAACAACGTGACAAAGAACAACAAAGTAATAAAGAACAAAAATCGCAGCCATCTCCCCCCCCCCAGCACAACCACGATTGCGCCCATCTTCCCTGCATGAGCACAACCACAATCACAGCCATCTCCTCCCCGCAAACACGACTGCAATTGTGCCCATGCAGGGAAGACAGGCACAATTGCGATCGTCACCCAATGTGGAGTTTGCAACCCGAGGCAAATTTTTTCTGAAATTTCTCTTCATGACCAGATTTGGTCATGAACTGAGGCGTTTGTGTGCCGAGGTACCACTTACTGAGCTTTGAACTTCTAGCCCTAGTCTAGCCTTAATACTGACATTTCCCTTCCCATGGTCCACGAGGGGAAAACGGGCAAATGGATGCACGGTTCATGGTGCTTATCCCCAGACTAATTTCATCCCTCAAACCAAAGTACTCTAAATCACAAAGGGGGGGGGGGGGGGGGGGGAGTCTGGCCCCTTGCAGCTGAAGGAATCCATGGAGAGTGGTGGCTGTCTGTAGAGGAAGCAGTTATCTGTGGTTGGCTGCATTTTGCTAACCTGCAGCAAGTTCATTATTAGAATTACTATAAATATGAGAACACATTTCACATGTGACTTATAGCAGTATATCATAGACAGTCTCAGGAGCAAATCATGAGTTAGTAAACTTATGGTTCCCCATTGTTATGTGCAAACAGTCCCATACTTTTTCTACTTTGTAGATTTCTTTTATAAAAAATAAGAAGTGCAATAATCCACTTTAAATTATTTAGATTATGGAAATGATTGAGGGAGGAAACACTGCCATGTTTTTCACATTATGCAATACCAGTATAAAAACTGATATAAAATAAAACTGATACTCCAGCGATAACAGTATCTCAGAGGAGGAGTTTGCCACAGTGAAATAGAGGGTACCTCTTAATTTTAATTAGAAAATTAAAACAATGTCTAATCATAGGGCCAAAACACAAGATCAGTTCTCTGTTTGTCCTTGGGTAAGCAAACAAGTAGAACAAAGGCCTTTTACTGTGCATGTTTGTTTTCAGAAAGAAAACAAATGGATAGTTATCTAGAGTCAGGGTACACTGCTTAACACAACATGGGGAGTGGAGAGAGAATACCACCCTAAATAAAACCTGAAGACATTGTTCATTAAAATTCTTCTACAGCAGCCTATGTTGCAAAATTAGATTCACAAAAGCTGAAAAATTAAAGCAGGTGGTAATGAGAAACCAAATGTATAATACTGTAAAATGAATTGCTCTGTGTTCATCTATATCAGGATGACAACACATGCGCCTTCACATATTGTGATCTTCAACTCACATGACCCATCACCATTGACTAGGTTGCCTGGGACTGATGGAAAACATAAGCCAAAACATTCAGAACACTACATGTCCAGCGCAATCTACACACTTTGGACTGGCAACACTTTCAAAAGATGTCTTGATCACTGAAGAAAAAGACTTTTATGCATGTGGGTTTTACCAGCTGACTGAAATGTATGAATTTCATATTGGACAGCACGCTACATCTTTCCCAAGGCTGGAAGCTGAGACAAGGAGATTGAATAGAGTAGAATCTTTCCAAGAATGGCTAACGTACCAGCTACTAATACACAGAAAAAACAATGCACAGAAGAAACAAAAACATAATGGAATTGATCTAGTGTTTATTTCCACAAGGGGGAGAACTCTGAGCAGAATTCTACTCACCAGAGGGCAGAAGTGAGAGGCATTTTAGCAATTCTCCCATGCACCCACCCCAAACACCCTGTATTACCTCTCAGGCTGTTCTGAAGAGTCCTCCAATGCTCCAGAACTGATTTTGGGTGAGCAAAGGAAAGAGGAATAAATGACAATAATTCCAACTATCCCAGTGGAAAATGTATCACTGCCTTCTGTCTGTAGAAGGCAAGTTCCAGTTCTGACCAATGCATTGCATCAAAATGTGTCAGAAATCTACAAGTGAGAAGGATCTTGGAATTGTTGTAGATCTCAAAGTTGAATATGAGTCAATGTGATGTGGCTACAAAAAAGGCAAATGCTACATTGGGCTGTATTAATAGTATATTTTCCATATGAGGGACTGGATCCTCTATATTCAGCCCTAGTAAGGCTCCATCTTGAGTATTGTGCCTAGTTCTGGGCTCCACAATTTAAGAAAGATGAAGACGAATTGGAAAAGGTTCAGAGGAGAGTAACAAAGATGATCAGGGGACTGGAAACAAAGCCCTGTGAGGAGAGACTGAAAGAACAGGGCATATTTATCCAGAAGACTGAGAGATGATAGCACTTTTCCAATAATTGAAAGGCTGCAGCATGGAGGAGGGCCAGGATCTCTTCTCAAGCATCTCAGAATACAGGACATGGAATGATGAGCTTAAGTTACAGGAAGCCAGATTCTGGCTGGACATCAGGAAATATGTCCTTACTGTTAGAGCAGCAGGGCAACCCCCTTTTGTCCTAAACTGAAGAGACCTCTGAGGGTAGGACAAAATTATATGCCATCCAATGGGTGCAAGGGTGGAGAGGGATGTGTAGGAGAGAGAACAGCACCTTGTATGGTGGCATCAAATCAAAGAAATAGAATACTGGGTGTTCAAGTTCTTTTTCCATGTAGGTAAAAAGTGACAACATTCTGATTTGGCATCATGCTTGAAAACAGTATGTATTTATTTTACAACAGATGTTGTGCAAGCAAAATTATACAAAGAAAAATTTCAAAGTTCAGAAAAATCAGGAAAGGGTTTCTGACATGATTTGTTCCTTAGGTATCGCCTTCTGCTCTTCCAATTCTGAGGCAGCAGGAGCACATCAGGAAAGGTGGTTGCTAAACAAAGGCCATAATCTAGGGAGCCTTCATGACATGTCTAAGTGCTTACAATTAACTCTGAGGAATATTTTCCCTTTGAATAGCAGTTCCCTCCTGGCCTATGCTGGCTGGGGATGATAGGAATTATTCAACACAACTGGGAGGCACCAGATTGATAAGAACTGTCAACATCCACTAAAATGTCAATAAACTATATTAGTTGGCTCAGTTAAACATGACCTCTCAGCTACATCCATGTGAAGGATCCTCTGGGGCAACATCCTGACTATTCACTGGAGAAGATTCTACTGCCTCGACACCCATGTTGTCTAGAACAGAGACAGAGTCACTCTTTTCAATACTAGGCTGCATCTCAGGTTCAAAATTGTTATCAACAGTTCCTTTGTCACTGGCTTCCCCATCAGCATCTTCTACAAGTTTGTCCTGGGGCTCAGCTGTTTCTTCTTCTTTTTCATACAGGAAGTTGCAAATCATGTTTGGTCTGCTGTATGAGAAGTCTTTTTCCTTAAGCTCTAGCCACTCCACACCACCACCTATCAAAAAGAAAAGAGGGACTTCGATGTTTAGAACTAATTTTTATTAAATATCACATACATTTCCCATTCTTCTCCATTTTCTTCTGTCCCATCCTCTTTGCTGGCTTCCCCACCATCAATGTTTAGACTGTGAATTCTTTGAGGGACTTGTGCTCCCTTTATGATGTAAGTGGAAAAGCAGGGTATACATTTAATAAAATAAACAAGCCACTCTGTATATCAATGATCCAACATAAATAATGATCAATAGTAAACGTTAGGGGTTAACCATATAGCTGTAACTTGCAACAAATTGATATACATTGAGATAAAGCTATGGTAGAAGGAATGTGCATTTTATAACTAGAATACGGAGTGGTTATAATGACAAATGGGAAGAAACTCCACTACCAAATTTTGGTATCTAAGTACCCCGTTTCCCCAAAAATAAGACCTATCCGAAAATAAGACCTAGCTGTGTTTATTCCCAGGGCCAGTGGGGAACATTAAGAGCCTTTTTGAACTTTAATTTTTAACTTAACTTTAACTTAATGCACTGTGTGGAGGAAAGATGCTTATGCGGCTCTGCTCCCTCCACACAGAGCCGCATAAGCTGATGCTTCCTCTAAAGCGCCAGCTCCTGTCACAGGGAGAGTGATACCAAATGAACCAAATGTACATGTATTCATGCTGTTGTACATGAATAAGTGTGGATGGTTGGGCACATTAAAAATAAAATAAAAAATAAGACCTACCCCAAAAATAAGACCTAGTGTGTTTTTGTGAGCCAAAAAAAAAAAAAAACAGTGTCTTATTTTTGGGGAAACACGATAGCCACAGACCCAGCTTTATTAATTCAATTCCATTTCATTTGTGGGTATGTGCCAATTTCATGTCCCTGTGATTAATACACCAATTTTTTGTATTGGTCCAATATGCAAAGGCAGGCACCTCAAACCATGGACATCTTTGCTCTTTGCTTCTGGCACAACTGCATTGATCTATAAGGAGGGCTGCTGAGTGGTCCTCATATGTTTTTTGCACCTTGCCTTGGATAGATGACTCTGGTGCCTTTCCAGCTCTATTGCTTATTCTCTGTTTACAAAAGAACACACACTAATGCCACCATTTCTCAAAGTAGATATAGGGCAGTTGATCAGTCCAGAGATTCCAGTTGTGGGGGCATAAATAGTTTTATATATCTTAGTTACAGTTCAGGGCATTATGCAGTGTGAGTCAAGACCCCACTAGGATCACCCAAAGAGATGAGCATAACCATTAACTCCTTGTGGCTCAGTCACCACTAGATGGAGAAGAAGTGATATAAAAAGAAGGTATGTTTATGAGCCAAGGAATAGTCTATGTGCATAACAGCTGGACAGGGAGAGCAGGGATGCCATGTACAGCATGTCAGAGTTTGATAAGTAATGGGATTTGTAGATTAGGAAAATAGAGAAAATAAATTCTGGACAAGTCCTATGCATGTTTACATCACCCCCCACCCCAATTCTCAGCATGTTGAGAGCTGTAGGACTTATTTCGGTCTAAATACATACAGGATTGCATTCTTGGAAACAAAAGGTGATTTTGCAAGAGTGTTAAGACCCACCTGTGTTCTCTTCTCCTTCTTTTTTCTCAGTCAGAAGTGTCCTTGTCATGTTCAGCTTCTTCATAGTGTGGTATTTATATTTTAGCTGTAATTTTTGATTGCCTTCCACATCTATTATAAAGGGGAAAATCAGAGATTGATTTTAGTGGTAATTTTATTCTTTGAAATATTAATCGTTTGTCTAACCTTTTCTGAGCTTATGAAAAACCAAGATACAAAAATAGTACCTACCATGATCTTTGTTTTCTTCAAATACAATGCAGGTGCCAAGGGTATCTGGGAACAACAATGAACATTTTGCTGAAGAAAAATGTAGGCTTCTTTTTAGAAGGATACTTCAAAGAGCCACATCTACTGTATTAAATGAAAGGATTAGGAGTTCAGCATGTGTTAAACTGACAGGTAATTCCAAAGAGCTGTTTAGGGGCAGCAGGCCAATGAGATTGTTTATTTTTCCAATCTTTGATCAACTGACTTCAATGCTATATAACAAATTGCTTTCGAAATTCCCTTCAGTCTCAAAAGCACTTTGCAACTGAGATCAACATAAGGATTTGAACATTGCGGTCACCTGCTTTTCATAACATTAATGTTTAGCTACAGTTGGTGTTTGTATTGTAATGTTTTTGTTTTTTAGGTTTGTAAGCATGTTTATTGATTTTCTTACTATTTGAAGCTTACTTGATTTTTTTTTCCAGAAAGGCAGCTAAGAACTATTACTTCTACTACTAATAATGGCCTCTTGGGCTTATGGAACTACTTTCATGGGTCTTTAAATACTGACATATGAACTAGTGGACTTATGGTTTCTTACCTTCATATTCCCCAGTAAAGACATATCTGTTCACTTGCAAAATCGGCCTCTCCGTGTCTATTCCCTAAAAATAACATGAGGAGACACATTTAGTAGGAGGAAAGTTACATTTAACTTTAAAGTTAAAGGCTCATCTAGGCACCCTCTTCATATTCTTTTAGGCACCAGTCAAAGTCCTTTTTATTTTCCCAGTATTTTAACTGTTAGAATGTTTAGAATGGTTTTAAATTTTACATCTGGTTATAAATTGTGGCTATGCCTTTTATGTTAATGTGGTTTCTGTAAGTGTAACAGTGGTGTGGTTTCACTTGTTCAGTTGTTAGATTTTAATATTGTTATAGTAATGTTTTATTACAAATTGTTATTTGATAGTATATTTCTACTTGTAACATAGAAACAGAGCGAGTCCGAAGGGGTCTCCCAGGCCATCTAGTCTGACCTCCAACACCAGCCAGCTCCGCTCATGACATGCCCACTATGTGGGTGGGTAACCCACCCAGGGAATCACATTATGGCTCATGGGGTGAGATAGAAATCTAATAATATAAATAAATATGTGAATTACTTTGATTTGAAGCACAGGCTAAGCTCGTTGAAGTCTCTAAAGCTCATGAGGGGATGCTGCACACATGTTCTCTGTACAGGTGGTGTATACATACCACTGCTATTTGTGAGGAGCACATTCATTTTGACAGTGTGTATGTACAATGGGAATTACAACTGATTGCAGCTTCCCACCTTCTGTACACACTGCAAAACAGAAACAACAACTTTACATGATACACATTTTTGCTACAAATTTAAAGTAGCTATGGTCATACTTCTATTCATCAATTATTTTCTATACATAATCATTGCTTTCCTTAAGCAAGCAAATGAAACAAAGATGTAAATTTGTATTAATCACACTCACCAAAATTTTGCATTTGTTCTCACATTTTTCCAGGAAGTCTGAATCAATTATACCTGACAGTTCAACCATGACTAATTGTTCCTGGAAAAAAAGTTTACAAAGCATGTCTTAAATAATGCATCTACAAGCTCAGTTTTCTTTCAGCCCAGGAGATGGGGCCCACATAAAAACACTATTATTGTCACAACCACTTTGTTCAAGAACACATCCACTCACACACATCCACCAACTTTCCACCTCTATTACCTGATGTCCATATTTCAGCTTGGTTCAGCAACGTCATTTCAATGCAGAGTTAACTAACACTATTCTTTGTACTTTGTTCATAGGCTGAAACTAAAAGTAATAGTTATATTCTGCTCTATCAACTAAAGGAGTATGGGGAAGAGGCAAAACTGTCTTTAAAAAGATACTCTTTCCTTTATGTTGATTTAGATTTTCAAGACATCTGAAGCATCTAGGCTGAAGATGGTTCTCCTGAACCACCCACACTGTTTCAAGCATCCAAGGGAAAAAGCAGTAAAATCTAGTACTGGAAGATGCAGCAGCAAACCACATCTTTAATTGCCCAGTGATGAATCTTACAGAACAGGGACACATTTAATGTTACTTCCTGTAGTAAAATGCCAGTAGGAATGCATTTGTATTTATAATCGAAGTAATACAGGACTTTTCAGTTTTGCATTTTTCCCGTCTTCAGTGGCAAGGGGTTAAATGCAGAACAGCTCTCGAATGCAAGCAGGTCCAAGCTCAATACTAGCAGCTCCTGTAAAAAGCGCTTTCTCAGGAGACCTCTTGAGTTCTCAGCAAATGTTGTCACAGCTGGTGCAGCCAGTATTGTACTGGGTTAGCCAGAGCTGTATACACCTTAATGCATGCTGATGGATAAAGTAGGGATTTGAATCACTGTATCTATCCTGACTACAGTGTGGTGGAGAGAAATGGGGTCCTTGCCAGCTGATGAGAATGCTTGGATCCACAGGGATCCAGGCAGTTTCTACATTAGGAAACTCAGCAGTTTTATTGGTGAGAACAGGCAGGAAAAACCCCTCTGCTGAGACAAACCTACAACAGCGCAGTGGGGTAGAGGTGCACAAACCAGCTACAAGTTTCCAGAACATATGCAGAGTGTTTTATAGGTTTCTAATCATATACACAGGAACAGGGCAGATGATGAGGAAAGAATAGGTACATGCCAACAGATAATTTATTCATGAACAAAACAATGTGAAGAAAATGCAGAGATGACATGACATAGTGGTACAGTAAATATTAGTGATTAGAGTATTGATATAGCATAGAGAAAGGCGCATGAATCATAACAGGGTTTGGGCTGTGGGTATTGACTTGCAAGAAAACTAGTCAGGGCTGTTTGTTGCAGTCCTTCAGATAAAAATAAAAACCTCAATGCAGTGAAATGCTAACAATGTAACAAGCTTAACTTTGCAAATAAATATAGCAGCAGGCTCAGGACAGTGGAGAGTCTCAGTCTCTTAAAGAAACAGATTACTAATAAAGCTTCGGGGGAAAAAAGAACCCTGGCTGGGAATTCTGGTTCTTTCTGGACAAAAGGAGCAAGGACCCTTCAGGTTTGATTTTATATCACAAAGGCACATATAAGAAACTATAAAGATTTATTTAGATTTCCCCAACATCCTCCTAATACATCTATATTGAAAAGTACAGGACTACAGCTACTTCATAGGGGGAAGGCACCCTATGTGTGCTCAACGCTCCTCTCGTTTTACTCCACAGGTTTTAGGGACGAATTGTGGCACTAAAAAAACAGAGGATGGAAACCAGGCTTTATACTGAGTACGCTTCCCTGAACGCAGCATTACTTCCTTCCAACTAGACATACAGCAGATTGCTTTGGAGGGCTGCTATCCGATGCGCGCTTCGGTGGCGCTCCATGAAGTCCAGAGCGCGGCTTCCATGCCTCAGCCCTCCAAAGCGGAAGAGCCGAAACAGCCAGCCTCGGTTCTTTCAGTCTCCTGCAGGCGCGAAGCCGCTTCGCAATTCAAACCTCGCTGGGGGAGGAAAGCAGCAGCAGCACCAGCCGCGTCGCGGGGGAACCCTCGCCTCCCCACCCGGCGCAGGGCCGCCTTGCCGCACCCACCTCCACGGAGAACTCTCCCCCCTCGGGGGGTCTCTCTCGCGCGGCCTCCATGCCGGCAGCCCCTCAGCGGGCGTCACGTGACGCCGCCGCCATCTTACGCAAGACCCTGGCAGCGGCCATAGCGCTTCTGGGTAGCCTTTGGGCGCGGGGCGGCAGCAGGGCGGGCAGACGGGCTCCCCGGCGGCCGAAGAAGGGGGGCTTGGAGCCGCGAGGCGATGGGAGACGTTTTCAGACACGTAGGCTGGACGGAAAATGGCAAGAAGACTCCAAGTGGATCTGGAAAGCTTCACTGACGTTCCGATTTCACCTGCTGACCTTCCCGAAATGGTGGCTGGGAGTAGAAAGGAGGATATTTATTTCCGGAGAGTAGCCATGGTAACCCCTTGCTGCAAGCCCGGCAGAGAGTCTTATGGCACCTTCGCTAACGAAAAGCGCAATCCTAGGCATAGTTTGACAGGGCACGTTATTACAACTTCCAGTATTCCTCCGCCAGTAATACTGGCAAGGGAATGCTGGGAACTGTACGACTTTGGTTCTGCCGCCTCAGTGCGGGAATGATTGCTCCCTAAATAAATCGGTTCGCTTTTAAGGAGTCGTAAGACATTTCGGTACAAGTGTTTAAATACACGTATTTATAGGTATTTACACTGGCCCTCATTTTAAATATTCTTTGGCGCTTTACAATAATTTCCCTGGCTCTTCTTGTGTTCCTTCGAGGGCTTGCCCTTATTGTTTACTTAAACTCCGTTTCCGGCTTTCCATTTGCCCACCTCATGTATTAAGTGCTCGTTTGCCATAACGGTGCGTGGGGAGAAGAAGAGGAAGCGCATTCCTTCTGGGACAATATGAGGAAAGAAGACTGCTCTAATGACCTCCCATTTTATTTCTAAAATATTCCCCAGCTAACTTTGAGTCATTGATAATAAGGAGGGTATATTTATTTGCATCGTAGATGCATGCGATATAACGTGTAATTAGAGGCAGAAGATTCGTGGATGGCAAGTTTGTATTCCCCAGCACTTGTTTTTCAGAAAGCCAGTTGACAATGCTGAGACTGGATTAAAGAGGAAACGAAATCTGAGAACCATAAAGACTGCCCAGGGGATACTTCTCCCATTTAAGTTCTAAAATATCAATTGTCCCTCAGCTAACCTTGAGGCTTTTATATGTTCGTGAATAACAAAGAACTTCTGTCCTTGCATGATAATTCGAACAAGACATACTTGATGGCATTCTGCTTTTTGTGTAGAAAAGCTTGGGGCAATGCAACCTAAGCACTTAAGCTTGGGTGCATTATGTAGTTCTTTCTATTCTCCATGACCAACATTGGGATGGTGTAAACTGGTGACCTGCAACAGCAGTGGGTTGGACCTGATAGCCTTCTTGGCCCCATCCAGCTCTCCTCTTCTGTGATTCTATGAACAGAAATGGACTCGTGCATTGCTTTAAACTGTTCATTTCTTAGTGTAGGGACCTATCAGCCTCTTCTTTGATAAATGTCATGTATATTTATGTAGGTGCTGCAAAAATAATGCTATAGTAGACATTGGAACATAACGCATAAAATAAGTGGAACTATTTAATCTGTCTTACAACTTTTTGCAAAATTAGGGTTACCTTGATATTTATTTTTATTATTTACTCTGACTAGAATTTAGTGTACCAATTCCAAAACGCATCATAAAGAGTGCAGAGTCAGGAAGTGTGTCTTCTGTAAGACAGTTTTCAATAGCCCTTTCACTAAGAAGGGCTTGCAAATATCCAAGAAGATTCTACAATCAGATTTTGAATGAACCAGATTCACATTTTGATATCTCATCTTTGTCTAGTGACAGAGCTTCTTAGCCACCAGGATTAACCTTTTTTAGGTGTGCAGGTAACCAGGCATCTGCAATATTTTAGCTTGCCTAAAGACAAATTATATATTTGTAAACTTGCAAGATCCCAAATAAGGTAAGGGGCTTAGCAAGATTGGAAAATAAATTTGAAAAGGACTGTATGAATAAATTCCACTGCTGGTGCATGCTAATTACTTTTGAGTGTTTACTGAAACCACACATGTATATTTATAAACTCTCATTCTTGCACATACTTCCTCTGAGAGAGAGAAAAAGGAAATTGTAGGAGAAATAAGGAAGAGGTTTTCACATTGTAAAAATGAAAAGATAACTAGAGGTGGAAGGCACTTCCCTATGACTCTTATAGCAAAGAAGAAAACAAAGGGTCTCTGGAAATGAGAGAGCACCCTACACTCCTGAGATAAGCTCTGGAAAGTAAGGCAGCTCGCCTGCTTGCTCAGTGGCCCATGTGGAACTTTTTGGAGATCACAAAGAATAAGCCCACTTGTGTTGCTATTGTACAACTGGGTGACTAACAGATTGGAAGTTTCCTGTATTTCTAGAGATAGGTACTGACTGCCCCACAGGCACATTTCACTTAAGGAGATGAATCAATAATGTGCTTTAGAAGGTGAGTGGGGATTAATGCACTGATCCAATCTTAATCCAAACTATTTTCATTGCAATGGAAGAATATGCAGTAATACTGTGGAATGTTATATTGTGTTCTGTTATGGCACATGTGCTATTAAGGAATGCCAATTTATACAACAGTGATTTCTCAGTTCTGGTGCAACTATTGTACTTTATTTTTCTTGCTCTTTAAAGAAAGTTGTATATTTGACATTATTTAATAAAGTACTATACATACAGGTACTATAAATGAACAGGAGGCTCAGCTCCATGCAGCACTAGCTTCAGCTTTTGTCATCTAACATACTTACCTGTGTGTGCACCTACACATGCATACACTCATAGAGAAGCAGCTCTTAATTAACATGGCAACCCATTATCTGCAGCCCTCACATCTATCCTGATGGTAAACCAGGTACCCTGGTGGGCGCAACTGGGAAAGAGTAATTCCTCTCTGCTCTTCCACCAAAGCCTCAGTTATACATACTAGATTGGCTGTCTCATCTACTGTTAAATCATGGATAAGGAAAGAACAAGAGGCTCAGCATGCCAATTCCAAGAAGGAAGGAGGGGCCAGGGGGGGTCACACGGAAGGATTTCTGGGCAGGAGAAACAGGGAAGAAAGGGATGGGCCACCCCAGAGGAGCAGTCATAGTGCTTGGGCTGTGGTTAGAAGAGCTGCCTGTGATCACTGAGCAGCCTCCAGGTTCCATGTCAAAGTCCTCATGCGGCCCTCATGGTACAAAGAGTTAGAACCCTGATCTCCCATCTCTGTGTTAGAATGGGTGAGCAGGGTCTGTCTGGGTCTCCTTACATGGAACGTCAGCACAGAGCCTCTTCATGCTACCCAGACACCCCTACTGTCATGGATCCTGACAAAAGAATATTGAGTTTGCAGTGGGCCTTGATGAACTGCACAAGAGCGCCTCTCCTAAAAAGTTACATTATAGTAGACAAATGACTCAGAATACCAAGATACTGATCTGTATGAGCTATATCAAACTGAAACATTGTTTGTATAAGTTGTTTCAGAACCTTATTTCCCCAGTGCAAATCATGGCTTTGAAAAACTTGCAATCTACAGATTCTTGTTGTTAGTCGCGAAGTCGTGTCCGACCCATTGCGACCCCATGGACAACATTCCTCCAGGCCTTGCTGTCCTCCACCATCCCCTGGAGTCCACTTAAGCTCACACCAACTGCTTCAGTGACTCCATCTAGCCATCTCATCCTCTGCTGTCTCCTTCTTCTTTTGCCATCTATTGTTCCCAGCATTAGACTCTTCTCCAGGGAGTCCTTCCTTCTCATTAGTTGGCCAAAGTATTTGAGTTTCATCTTCAGTATCTGGCCTTCTAAAGAGCAGTCAGGGTTGATCTCCTCTAGGACTGACCGGTTTGATCGCCTTGCAGTCCAAGGGACTCGCAAGAGTCTTCTCCAACACCACAATTCAAAGGCCTCAATCCTTTGGCGCTCAGCCTTCCTTATGGTCCAGCTTTCACAGCCATACATTGCAACTGGGAAAACCATAGCCTTGACTAGACGCACTTTTGTTGGCAGGGTGATGTCTCTGCTTTTTAGTATGCTGTCTAGATTTACCATAGCTTTCCTCCCCAGGAGCGTCTTTTAATTTCTTGGCTGCAGTCCCCATCTGTGGTGATCTTGGAGCCCAGGAAAATAAAATCTGTCACTACCTCCATTTCTTCCCCATCTATTTGCCAGGAAGTGAGAGGACCAGATGCCATGATCTTAGTTTTCTTAATGTTGAGTTTCAAGCCAACTTTTGCACTCTCCTTCTTCACCTGCATCCAGAGACTCTTTAGTTCCTCTTCACTTTCTGCCATGAGAGTGGTATCATCTGCATATCTGAGGTTGTTGATATTTCTCCCAGCAATCTTAATTCCAACTGGTGATTCATCTAGCCCCACCTTTCTCATGATGTGCTCTGCATATAAGTTAAATAGGCAGGGCGACAGTATACAGCCTTGCCAAACTCCTTTCTCAATTTTGAACCAATCAGTGGTTCCGTGTCCAGTTCTCACTGTTGCTTCTTGACCCGCATATAGGTTTCTCAAGAGACAAGTAAGATCGTCTGGTACTCCCATCTCTTTAAGAACTTGCCACAATTTGTTGTGATCCACACAATCAAAGGCTTTGGCATAGTCAATGAAGCAGATGTTTTTCTGGAACTCCCTAGCTTTCTCCATGATCCAGCGTATGTTGGCAATTTGATCTCTAGTTCCTCTGCCTCTTCGAAATCCTGCCTGTACTTCTGGTAGTTCTCGGTCCACATACTGCTGGAGCCTAGCTTGTAGGGTTTTGAGCATCACTTTGCTAGCATGTGAAATGAGTGCAATGGTGTGGCAGTTTGAACATTCTTTGGCATTGCCCTTCTTTGGGATCGGAATGTAAACTGACCTTTTCCAATCCTGTGGCCACTGTTGAGTTTTCCAAATTTGCTGGCATATTGAGTGTAGCACTTTTACTGCATCATCTTTTAAGATTTTGAATAGCTCAGCTGGAATACTGTCACCTCCACTAGCTTTGTTGTTGCTCAGACTTCCTAAGTCCCATTTGACTTCACATTCCAGGATGTCTGGCTCGAGGTCAGTGACCACCCCATCGTGGTTATCAGGGACATTAAGCTCTTTCTTGTATAGTTCTTCTGTGTAATCTTGCCACCTCTTCTTAATCTCTTCTGCCTCTGTTAGGTCCCTGCCATTTTGGTCCTTTATCATGCCCATCTTTGCATGAAACGTTCCCTTCATATCTTCAATTTTCTTGAAGAGATCTCTGGTCCTCCCTATTCTATTATTTTCTTCTATTTCTTTGCACTGTTCATTTAAGAAGGAATTCTTATCTCTTCTAGCACACATTCTATGTGGATGCAATAATGCTTCTAAGCCTGCTCAGGATGCTCTGGGGTGTATTTGGGGTGCAATCCTATTTAATTTGCCTCATTAACCTAGGGCTTACCTTTGAGTATATATGCATCAGAACACAACCATTTCTTCATGTAAAGCCCTCTTAACTTTATTAGTTCAGTCGGCAAAACTGATTCTGGTTGCAAAACATGTGTCATAGACTGCTTATTACAGTCATTTAAGGAAATAAAAAGGATGGAGGAAAATCTTTGTGCAAAAACTATGAGTGTTCCTGTGGAATAGTCACTTTTGTAGATGTTTGTATAAGTTGCTCATAACAGCTTTAAGCTTAGGGTGATTATTTTAGATGAAAAACTCAGCTGTGTTCCAAAATCCTTACTTTTCACAAAACGTATTCCTGGTGTTTTTGGAAAACAGATTTATGAGGTTCAGGCCTTGATATGCTGGAATTACATCGAAGAGTTAATAGTAAAGCCTGCAACAAAGTCTGTCAGCTAGTAGAGGTGTGAAGGATTGTCAATTTACACTGGTCTTAATATATCAGTTATGTGCTGTCATGTCATCTCCGACTTAAAACAGCCCTATGAATGAAAGTCCACCAAAATGTCCTGTCTATAACATCCCTGCTTAGCTGTTCTAAATTCAAGGCTGGAGTTTCCTTTATAAAGTCAATTCATCTCATTTGGGGTTCCTTTTCTTCTTCTTCTGCCTTCAACTTTCCCTAGCATGATTGGCTTCTCCAGTGAGTCTTGCCTTCTCATGTGCTCAAAGCATGACAAACTCCATTTTGTCATTTTTGCTTCTAGGAAAAGTTCTAGCTTGATTTGATCTAGGACCCATTTGTTCACTCATTGGTCTAGGGCAGTGTTGGCGAACCTTTTAGAGACTGAGAGCCCAAACTGCAACCCAAAACCCACTTATTTATCGCAAACTGCCAACACTGCAATAAAATCTGACTACTAAGTTTAGAAAACACAACTAAATATGATGCTCCAGATTCAAATATGGCAGGGGCACAGCACAACATTAAAAGAATCTCAGTCTCTTAATTAGAACATCTCTTTGCTAAATCTTAGATATTAAATTTCAATTTTTCATAAGAAAACTCAAAGCTAAAATCTTGCATTAATAAAAATGAATGTATTAAAACTCACAGCCAGTCCAAGCAAATATATTGGCAGCACACTGACTGGCCATGCAAAAGTTCAGACGAGTCGCAGCTAATGAATCTTGGCTTGTAATGTCATCGCCTGACGCCGTTACTCTTTTCCGAGCATGCTCATGGCCCCTACGTGCACTGTTAATCTGATGCTCAGCTGCTGGGGCAACTTGACTCACATGCCAACAGAGGGCTGTGTGCCCGCTGCGCCCCGCGTGCCATAGGTTCACCACCACTGGTCTAGGGTATTTACTATACCTGCTTTTAGTGAACACAAAATTGAACACATACGCACAAACAACCCAAAGCTTTACTGCTTACCTACTGATCAGGAAGCCTGCAAATTCATTGTTTACCACTTCGGTGGGAAGGTAACACCTCGGTGTTTAGTCATGCAGACTGTCTGCAGACAAACGCTGGCTCCCTCGGCTAGGAAACAGAAATGAGCACCGCCCCCTAGAGTCAGACATGACTGGACTTTAATGTCAAGGGGAAGCCTTTACCTTTATGCATGCAAAACCTATCATTTAAGAGAAGTTTTCATTCTACAATTACTATTATATCATTAAAATAGAAAAAACTGATAATTAACAGAATAAAAGTTTCCAATAGATTTAATCTTCTTGGGTCACCCAGACGCTTGATTACTTTCTGCATAATGTTCAGTCAGAACAGACAAGTACTTGCTCATCCTAATTTGCAGATTACACAAAATTGGGTGGGATAACTAATACAGAAACAAAATTCAAAGTGATCTTGATAGGTTGGCACACTGGGCCTAAATACCAGAATGAAATTTGTTAAGGACAAATTTCAAGTGCTGCACTTGGGAAAAAGAAACCAAATGCATAGTTACAAGATTGGGGATGGTTGGTTCAACAATACAGCAAGCAAAAAGGATCTTGGAATTGTTGTAGATCACAAGCTGAATGAGTGAACAATATGTGGCTGCAAAAAGGGGGCATGCTTTTTTGTTTTACATTAATAAAGGTATCACTTCCAAATCACCTTAAGTACTTTCACTTCACAACACTGGTTAGGCCTCATCTGGAGTACTGTGTCCAGTTCTGGACACTACCATTTAAGAAAGATGCAGATAAGTTAGAAAAGGTTCAGAGGAGGGAACAAGCATGATCTGGGAACTGGAAACAAAGCCCTGTGAGGAGATTGGAAGAATTAGGCATGTTTAGCCTTTGAGGGGAGATTAGTATCTTCAGACTTGAAAGGTGGTCACAGAGGAAGGCCAGGATCTCATCCCAATCATGCCAAAGTGCAGGACACAGAATAATAGGCTCAAGTTACAAAAAGTCATATTCTTGCTGAACATCAAGACAACTGTTAGAGCAGTACAGCAATGGAACCAATTACTTAGGGAGGTTGTTGGCTCTCTCACACTAGAGGCATTGAAGATGCAGCTGGACAGCCATCTGAGAGGTATGTTATAACTTGGGAGTCCTGCACTGAGCAGTGGCTTAGACCTGATAGTCCTCTTGGCTCCTTCAAACTCTATGTGGATTCTATGTAGTTGGCATTAATTCAAAATAGGTATACCATACCCAAGTTAGGTGAAACAACACTCATTGCAAGAGCTTAGAAAGCAAACTTTTATTTAAGCATTACAATTTCTGGTACAGATATATTTTTGCACATTTTAATGATCCATGTCTAACACCACAGAGAGAAGTTTTAAACACCAAACATCATCCCCCTTCTTTGTTCACCCTAGTGTTCATGAATACTCATTCAACCATTTTTTCTTTCTATATAGCTATCCAAATCTCACTTTTATCCAGATCTGTATTTCCAACCTTAAACAAAGGGATCTTCAGTCTAGCAGACCTCAAGCCAACAAGTGCTTGGGGACTCTTCAAGAACAAAAGCATTTGAAAACTTGGTCCTTAAAGTCAAAAGCACCCTGAACCATGAGGTGCTACTCAGAAGCAAAACTGATCATTTGGTAGAAAAAAATCTATTTAAAAATAAAAAGTGAAGGTGTACCAACTACTTGATTTCCAACCAAGCAGAATGAGTTGCCTAGAAACACTAAAAGTGTTTCCTATATACAGAAGGAACACAATATTGTCATATTCAAAGAATCAAAAACATAGTGAGGATTTTGTCAATTTTTAACAGATTGCTGGTCTCAACAGCTGAAATCCCACAGTATTTCAAATGATACTTGAATATACTGTCTCCCAGAAGCTTAAATTCTGTGCCTAGACTGTTATTAAGGTTCTAAAGACACTGTTGTACTTCACTGTGTCTAGGCACCCAATTTTGTACTTGCTGCAGCCAAAACGTTCAGTGCCTTCCCACATCGTGTAAAAAGGAACTGCATTTTAATTAGGTAGAAACACAGATGAAGTCACAATATTGTTAAATTCAGCTTAAATATCACATGCACAATGATGTCACAGGACGTTACAGTGTGGAAGGGCCTTGGTGTCTGAATTCATATGAAGTTACATTTGAGCCAGCATATTCACAGTAAGAAATGGCAACAATTTTGTAGTAAATTTAAATCACATTGCATTGTGTTATTTATGAGAACTCCCTATGCCAAGAGCACCACCCTCCTAACAAATTAGATTTTTAAACACTGCAATAACATCTGAGTTTTGTGAAAGGTCTGGAGCTGGCTTGTTTAATTCATGCTATCACAATTGTATCAGTATACTTTAGATATTAGACAACTTCCACCAGTCACCTTTGAACAAAAGACCAATGTGGAACAGGAATGATTTTGGCATAAATTTAGAAGACTATCAAAATAACTTAACAAATGAATAAGTTCGTTCCCAGTGGTGAATAGCTAGTGTACTAACTGCCACTGTATTTTCTTTCCACTAGTTCTGGAGATGTATACAACTCTAGAGTGTTAAAATATACTTGACCCAAATTATAAAGCGAAATAGCCCATTGTATGTAAGTAGTCTTGTTCTAGCCACCTCAGCATTCTAAATTGCAAGAAGTTTGAATCTGCCATTGGGTTACACACTAAATGTCAATTAGAAATCACTCAAATTCAAGAACTGTTTTAAATTTAAATTACAGTATAGATATGAAAGAGTTAGGCAACTAACTGTTTTAGATAGGTAAGTTCAAGGGAAACTAATGAGGACGAAATCCTTGTCTGTGGGGAATTTTTGGTGATACTTGGAGAAAAACTATACTGCATGTAATCCTATTGGAACTGTTTTTACAAATATTGTAGAGTCTCATACAGTAAAATTTTTCTACATGCTTTCCAATTTCACAGCAAAAGTGAATTAGAATACCTAAACACAGAAGAGAGCATTCATGCAATATATCTAAATTTTTGATATAATAATGTATACAATTGAAAATTATACTATGATTACATCTAGGGCTTTCTGCAACTACGAGGTGGATATGAAAAATATGGCCCCTTGTAACATTAACTAGAAAGCAACCACCACCTCCACTATTGGGTTTCTTTTTGCGCTTTTTCTTCATTTCTCTTAATCAACTCTGCTGTTTATTCTTGGCAAAACTGGTAAAAACAAAGTTGTAGTCATTAAACTGAGCGATCTGGCGATCTAGACACTTAAAACCTTCAATCTTCTGGGCTGAAGCAAACACTGTGCGACATTTTGAACTCTAGAAAAAAAAAGAAATTTTATTCAGATCTTGGAGTAAACTAATTCTGCAGGTTAAGTCAGTATTGAATATTACAAGTCAGAGGAGTAGCTGTTACAAATAAAAGTTATCAAATCATGTCATGAACTGCCATAGACCAAAGCTTAAATCTATGGCTGGGATTAAGTTAGCTTCAATGGGTAGGTGTAAATTGACCTCTGGGAATGAAAGAGGTCAACATTTTACTATCATTTGGCCTTTTGGATTCAAGATTTTTATACAGAAAAAGAAAAGATCCAGTGAAAGAGTAAGAGCTTCTGTTTGAATGGATGTGATCCAAGGACAACACCTGCAGGGAATTTGTAAGCCAGATGAATAATGTAAACAGGAATTTGAATTCCTGTTTACAACTGCCATTCAGACTTGGGTTCCACAGGAAAGATTAATTCAATACTGAAAATTTCCCTCTCCAGGTGTCACTTTATACTATTTCTCTTGCTTTGCTCTTTCTCTTGACACTTGCTATGTGTCAAGTGAGGAAGTGGAGACAAGAGGTGAAGTACTGATCTCTACAATTCTATTTCCTCCCATCCGTCCAGCTCCCAAAGATGAAGGCAAAACGAGTGTTCATGGAGGCTGCGGAGGCAGGCAGTGCCACATTCCTTCTGTGCATGCTACATACTTGATCACACAGCACTCAAGTGAAACAGACCCCTCTCTCCATCAGCTTGCCCAAGCTGCTGATGTGACTGATGAACTAGGGTTTTTTTCTACTGTTCCACTTTGACAATGTAAAGGCCAGAAGAGTTGAAGGGGAAGAGGGAGAATGAGGGAGGGAAAACTGGATGGGGACAGGAGGACCAGATAAAAATGGGGCAGAAATTAAGCTAAGGAGGCAAGGGCTGAATGTTTTTCCAAGCAGCTCCAAGTGTGAGGCAGCTATCTTACAAAATCACCTGAAAGTAAATTCTAGTGAACTCAGTTGGGCATACTTCTGAGAAAATACATATGAAACTGCACTATATAAAGTACATGTAGCAAAGAAGGTGGTAAAGGGGCAGCAAGATTAGGAAAAAGGAATCTAGCTTTCATAAAATGAGGTTTTTCTTTCTCCCTTTCCCTTCCAGAGAAGTTTGGGGTAAAGGATGATCAATTTTTTTTTTTTTTTTGCTAATTGGAGTCACAGTACCCTTACACTTTTATATGGTTTACTCAAAGTCAGAAAAGTTGGTATAACTTTGATCTTAAAACAATAGGTGGGAAACTACCAATGCTATGAGAATAAAATTGAAGAGAACTATATGAACTGCCTTGGGTTCCTCACAAAAGGAAAAAATACGGGATATACATGTAATATAATAATACCTTAGAATGCAATGCCCTGGAAGCTGTAATGTTTGAGGACTAACCCCTAAAAAATGGTTATGTAGAAGAATCCTAGGAGCTTTAAACAGATTAAAGCATAATTCTTCTCTGTCCAACTAGTGGCATCAAAATGGTTTGTTCAGTGGCACATATTTTAAAGACCAAAGGTGAAATCCAATGACTATTCCTCATGAAAAGAAGACAGCTGTCAGTGGATTCTAACAGTCTTACAGTCCTTCAAAATATGCACTGCAGGAGATTATCACCTCCAAAGTTGATTTTGGAAAGGTGGAATTGACCCTTCCCACTGGTGGACGTCTTCTCCCCATAAGGAATACTAAAAGGATTTCATTGTAACTGGATGTTTGTGTGTCCATGAACATTTATTCCTGAAATAATTCTTGGTGTCATCTCTAATAGTGCCATTATGTGCAGCTTCAGACATGTGTTCTATAGAATGCAAACATATTTGCTTTTCTAATGTTTCTAGATAGCCTGATCATTTACTATGACTTGAAGTACAGCACAGTTTACTGTTTCTATGTCTGACAGCAATTATGTAGTTAAGGATTTTTCAATGGATCAGTCACATGCAGCCCACATGTCCTCCCATGTCCCCAAAATAATATAAAGTTTTACCTGATTAACAAAGAGGGTTGTCACAAATTTTCCCGGCTTAAAAATGTCTATGACCTTTCTAATTAGGTCATCGTAAGATGTCTGACTTATGTTTGTTTCAAAACTAACATATGAAAACTCTGGCTCTGGAGTGATGTGAATAGTCCAATAAGTTCCCTAGGAAAGTAATGGAACTGTGTTAATCACTTCAACATGTAACCATTTATACATGAAGGCTCATCATAAAGAAGCAAAACTATGGTACTCACATCTGTTTTCATCCCATTCATTGAATACCCACAAGGATTGAACATTGTAGCATCAATGACAGAACCTGGTATCAGGTCACGAATTCCACTCACCTGGAAAATGAAAACCAGTGTTCATTTTGTTGACTGTTGCTTCAGCAGACTTATGCATATCTCACAACTCAGTTACTTTTCACACAAATCATGGTACATCTCTTCCTCCAGGAAATGAAGATTTTAGAGTCTGATTCTTAGTTTTACTTGCTTGGTTTCATTGGAAAAATTACAACATAACCAATATGCAGGTGATGTGCATAAATCTAGTATGTTAAAAAAACAAGTAAAATAACCTGCTACAGTGAATCCAATTGAAACATTTTAATGTAAATTTTAATTTTAAAAAATCATAGCTTAAAATTAAAAGCTTGTAAAATATTATAAAATAGATTTCAAAATGTGAGACTTTCAGAAAAGTCCCACTTAAAAGTGAGGAAGTACTCCTTTTATCTCTGGTCAGTCTTCTACCTTTTCAGATTCATGAGATGACCACAGGCTATTCAAATACTCTTGACTGCTATTCCTTGCATGTACTTTGCTAAGGGTGTTTTAAGCTGATAGAAACATATTTGCATGAAAAGTGAGAGGATGGAGGGAGGAGACAAACACTAGTTACTGTTTCATTATCGACCCAAGGCCAGCAGAAGTCTTGCTTATAACAGTGGTGGTAACACATGTTTGATTTGGGTAAAACTATAAGTACACACAGCTATGCTGCAAACTTTAATATTCCCTCTGCCTTTTCTTTCAGCAGGAAGACGTTAAATACTTTTAATCATGGGCTACATTGTCCTTTGAAATGAAACTAAGGAGACTACAAATGCAAGCTGTCTGACAGGAGCAAATACATTTTAAAAAAACTTTTCAAATGATAAATTTGAGAGTTTCTTCCTACAATAGAAATGGAGGTAGCCTATATTAGTACACTCATTTGATCAAATCTGGACTGTACAAACTGACCTTTATGGGGTTTTCTTTCTTAGACTCTTATAACTTCACTCAAATGTAACTGGGAGATAATTTAATATGTCACTAACTGTAAAGAAAAAATAATATGCCAGGAATCTCTACAAGCCCAAGGTAAGAACTCTACTTGCTGGCTTAAACTAACTCAGTCCTCCTCCTTTAACCAAAATTCCAAACTTACACGAGTGACATCACTTGCAGTAACACCATCTTTCATGTAGAACTGGTCCATAACTACTGGATCAAGCTCGCTCATCAGAATTTCCAATGTTTGATCTGGCTGATTGATTACTCGACTCTCTGAAAAATCCAGAGTGTACAAGTACCTGTTTAAAGAAAATGCATTTCAGAAAAGATATTCCAGTACACTACAAATAATTAAAACTGCTCAAGATTTTACAGTGACCATTAGATGTCAACCTACCAGCAGTCAGAATTCATACGGCCCATGCAATAAGCTGCTCCATCTGTGCAAGACAAATGAGATTAGTAAAAAAAAAAAATCTTAAAACAGGAGACTACAGTTTCTATATGAAACATATTTAGAATTGAGTTAATTTTATTGTTTAATCTATATGCAGTCAGCTTTTAATGATTATCTGATTTTACATATTCACTGCTTACATTTCTGTTGCACTGCTCACTACTGTCCTTTATAATGTCCCTTTTCTTTAATTTATGTTTATATAGCTGATATGCCTCATACGTACAAAGGCTAGGAAGTTTGCCTATGGGGTGATTGGGCTCTAGCTACCCAACATAAATCCTTTGAAAATATGTTCTTTCTGATTTGGAGATATTAGATATGTTTGTAAGTGGAGGCTACAGCTTAACGCAATTAAGACAGAAATAACATGCTTCCACCTTTGTAATAGATCAGCAGGCAGAGAGTTTAATGTACAATTTAAGGAAAATCGACTTTATCACAATATGTTTCCTAAATATCTAGGAGTTACTTTGGACAGGACCCTTTCTTATAAAGAACATTTGATGAAGACTACGGCTAAAGTGAGAAAAAGAAATAACATTATGCACTAACACTGCTGCACCAGATGGGGCTTGGCAACAGACATGCTGCGAATGCCTGCACTTAGCTTGGTTTATTCAGCAGCAGAGTATTGTGCCCCAGTATGGCTTAATACCCTGTACACAAATAGGATTGGTGTACAATTACATGAATCAATGCATACTGTCAGTGGGACTATTCTACTCCCGTATATTGGCTTCCTGTTCTGAGTCATATACCACCTTCAGAAGACAGACAAAAAATATCAGTTATCACTGATAATTCCCATTTGGCAATAATGAATGATAAAATCTGCCTAGAGTGAAACAGGTTGAGATCTAGACATCCAGCTATTATTACTGCTAAGGCACATGTAGAAGATGATTTTAATATTCACAATATGTGGAAACAATATTGGAAGGAAGATTGCCCTTTGCAATGTCACAGTCCGCCTTGCATCTTGGAAAAACCTGAATTTGACCAGCCCCATATGATATGGACAGCACTAAATCAACTGAGCTGGTATTTATGCTATTTATTCTAAGTTGCTTTACAGAGCCAGTGGCATTTTCACAGTAGAGCTCTGTTTTTACTGGTGTATTGTTTTATTTCTCAGCATCCTAGTTTGGGCTTTTAATTGCCATTGTATTTTATTATATCTGGTTTTAATTGTTATGGGAGTTCCAGGGGAGAGGATGGGTGCTCCCACTGGGGCGGTTATGGACATGGGAAGATATGGCACGTTGTTACAGAAGGTGAGGAGATGCCTAGTATCTGCTCTCTCTCTCCTGGTTTTTCCTCCAACCAGAAGGCTCCAGGCAGTGATGTCAGCCGGCCATCACGCTTGGTGCTGCTGCTGTTGAATGCAGGGTCAGTACAGAACAAAACATCTCTCATCCATGATTTGATTTAATTTCTCATCCGTGGATGGGGAAATGACCAGGGCAATCGACATGATCACTTCTAAGCATCCTCTCCCGCCATGCAGAGACTGCTTGGCACCATGGTACATGCCTGAGTTGTGGGTGATAAAGCAGGCTTGGAGATGACTAGAGCGCAGATGGAGGAAATCCTGAGATGAATCCAACTGAGCACACCTCAGAACTCATTACTGAGCCTATCCTGTGGTGGTGAGAGTGGCGAAGAAAAAATTCTTCTCCACTTCCATTGCATCCTCACAGTGCTGTCCAGCTGAGCGCTTTCAAGTGGTACAGGGCCTATTACAGTCTGAGCCCAAAAAGGAGTGGATTGTACCATCTGCAGCTTGCTGTGATGACTTTGCCCAGCACTTTAGGGATAAAATCGCTCAGATTCACCACAAGCTGGACTCCACAGCTGATGAGGCTTTAGATCAGGAAGCATCCAGAGTATCGTCTGGTCCATCTTTGTTGGATGAATTTCAATTGCTGTGGCCTGAGGATGTGGACCAGATGCTTGGACCTGTTTGCTTGCCCCTTGCCCCTTGCCCCTGCTCATCAGAGACAAGAACTGGATATGCCCCTGGGTCTGGGAGGTTATCAGCGTTTCTCTGAGGGAGGGTCAGGTCCCTGCCCCTTTGACAGAGGTGGTGATCAGGCCTGTCCTGAAGAGAGCATCCCTGGACCCAGAGATAGCTGCCAATTATAGGCCAGTGGCTAATATCCCATTCGTGGGCAAGGTGGTTGAGTGGTCGGACAACTCCAGGTACTCTTGGAGGAAACGGATCATCTTGACCCATTTCAATCTGGCTTCAGGCCTAGCTATGGAATGGAAACTGCCTTGGTCGCCCTGTATGATGACCTGTGCAGGGAGAGGGACGGGGGAGTGCATCCCTGTTGGTTCTCCTGGACATCTCAGAAGCTTTCGATTCCATCGACCATGGTATCCTTCTGGATAGGCTGGCTGGGAGGGGAGTTGGAGGCACTGCTCTGCAGTAGTTCTAAGGGACTATGGCTCTGCACCATGGCAACTATACCATGGAGTTCCACAGGGTTCCATTTTATCCCCCATGCTTTTTAACATCTACATGAAACTGCTGGGAGAAGTCATCCGGAGGTTTGGGCTGCAAAGTCATCAGTATGCTGATGACCCCCCAGCTCCACCTCTTTTACATCTAGTCCAGGTGAGGCAGTAGCTGTCCTTAAGTGGTACCTGGCTGGGGTAATGGGTTGGATGAGGGCCATTAAATTTAGGCTCAATCCAGATAAGATGGAAGTCCGGCTGATAGGCGGTTCAGCCTTCCAGGTGAATGACATCTGCCCTGTTCTGGATGGGGTTGCACTCCCACTAAAGGACAGGGTGCGCAGTTTGGGAGTGCTCCTCAATCTGGAGTTGTCCCTGGAATCTTAGGTGGCAGTGGTGGCAAGGAGTGCTTTTCTCCAGCTTTGGCTGGTTTACCAACTGTGCCCTTACCTGGATGAGCACTGCCTTGCAACAGTGACCCATGCTATGGTAACTTCCCAACTGGATTATTGTAACATGCTCTGTGTGGGGCTGCCCTTGAAGACGGTCCATATACTTCAGTTGGTTAAGAATAGAGCTGCCAGGATATTAATGGGGACCGGGAGGTATTCACATATAACACCAGTCCTCTTATCAATTGCACTGGCTACCAATTGAAGTCCGGGCACAATTTAAGGTGCTGGTGATGACCTATAAAGCCCTAAATGGCTTGGGTCCTGGATACCTTCCTTCCATATTTGAAAATGCTTCCGTATTTGTCCTCCCGCCCCTTGAGATCGGCAGCAGAGGCCCTCCTCTGGGAGCCCTCGGTGACAGACATCAGGAGGCAAAGTACTCGGAGGAGGGCTTTCTCTGTGGTGGCACCCCATCTGCACTCCCCAGAGAGGTCCACCTGGCGCCGTTATTTGTTTTTCGGCACCAGGCTAAGACCTTTTTATTTAAATGATACTTTAACAACTCTTAATAATACTGATAGGTTTTAATTTTGCAGCCAGGGTGACTCTGGGTTTTTATTTGTATTATTTGTTATGTATGTTTATTTATGTGAGCCGTCCTAAGGCTATAAGCGATGGGACGGCATACAAAAATTCTAAATAAATAAATTAGCTGAAGGAACACCTTCTTCCCCATGTACCCTCCTGCCCCTTGAGATCTGAGGCAGAGGTCCTCCTCTGGGAGCCCTCCTTGAAAGAGATTAGGAGGGTAGTTACCCAGAGGAGGGCCTTCTTTGCAGTGGCACCCGACTGTGGAACACACTCCCCAGAGGTTTGCCAACGTTTCTTTCGACGCCAGGTGAAAACCTTTTCACTTTCCCACTATTTTGCTACTTTATCTTAATCTGTGGTTTTACATTGGATGCAGTGCTACTTTTATTTTTATCTTATTTTATTGTTATTATGAACCATCCCAAGATGTCTATGATGGGATGGTATACAAAAGTTTTAAATAAATACATTTGCCCTGGCCATGACAGATGCCCTTTATAAATGGGGCAAAATACCATTGCCAAATTGTGATTGTGGGACCAAAAGACAAACTATCCAATATATAATGACAAAGTGCCAAAATAGAGCTTATAAAGGAGAGTTTGCTGATTTGCTGATTATCACAATCAAAGCAACAAATTATATCTGTAATTTAGATATACATTTATAATGTTTTGGATCTTTTGTGTGTCATGTTTTTATGCTTGTGCTTTTATTGATGTGTGATGTGAATGTGCCATACAATAAATAAAAAAGCAAGCAACACTTGCAGAGAAACATGCCTCACTTATGGCATCCAAACAATTGCCTTGATTTGGCCAGTACAACCATTTGCCAACCTCTGCAACCACTTTATCCTTGTGTGTATACCAATACCCACTCATAAAGGTAAGACCACCCACCTAGGGATACACATGAAAAATGTGAGCCATGTATGCATTTATATTATACCATAATTAAGTCTGACCAAGCATCAAATCTCTACAGAAGAATTATCAATGGCATCTCAGTTTCTATAAATTAATCTCCTTTTTACTACAGTGCTCATAATGGGTCACTGCTACCCAACAGAGGATGATTCAGAAACCAGTTCTAGAAAAGTTATATTGAAATGATGAATCTTAAGAAACAACTTTAACTTACCACTAGAATTCTTGCTTTTAGTCCTTAAAGACTGAAAGAGCACCTCTATAATCAAGGCATCTTGTGTTGTTACTATGGCAATGGTGATGCAATGGCCTATATACTAGTTTGAACAGCCTACTGTGCATCAACCTCTGAATAGCTGTTTTTATTACAGACAGCCCATTAAAGGGACATACAGACATTCACTTACTTGGAAATATTTCATTAAGGAATTCTACTTCTTCCTGGAAATTCCTGTGTGGGTACTCTTGGTGGGAAGGCTTCATGAAATTCTTCCGTGAATAAAAGAAGCTCTGAGAAATAAAGGAGGGTTGAAGTAAAATAAGCAATTTTCCTTAATAGTTCCATTATGATGAAAAGGAAATTATCTATAAATGAGCTTCTGCTTAAGGCTTTAGAACTGACACACATCTGCTCTCAATTCAAACACCAAACACAACATCAAGTTTGCCACATAAACACACAAGGAATAATTTGTAGAGATGTAAAAATGACAACTATGAAATATAGCCCTACATCTAAAATATAGGAGTTTCTTAGTATTTGCTATTTCCCATGCTTCTACCTGTCCCATTCTTTAGTATTTCCTGAGGTAGTGTAGGAATTGGACGGACTACACCAGCATTAAAAGGCTGCTGTTCAACAAGTATAGTACAGAGTAAATAGCACAGTTGCTTTACTGGGAATATCAGTTCAGTTTTTCCCAGCATCAAGCAGAAGCTGCAGTCTCTTGCTTGCATAGATAATGCAGGATCCCACAGAACCTTGCTACTGCTTTCTTCTCTAGTGGCTGTAGCAAGAAAAGCAATTCATTTATTGCAGTCACTGTAAGTCAAGTAACAATCCAGTGATAAAGGAACACAGGGAGTGAGTGCCAATGTTTCTAGGGTATACCATGGCCTGGTTCTAGGTTGCTTCAAACAGGGAGGAGAGGCAGGACTGGGAAGATTATATATACTTTTAGGATACACTGAATTTGTATTAGTACTGAGGGTATCCTAAAAAGTTCACCTGTTTGGCTAGTAATGCTACCCCCATTTGTTTCACCATTATGCAGCTCAGAAATATAGGCCTGTTCAATACTGGTATTTCTAAAAGGTATTAATAATCAAGATCATACTTAATGTGTTATAACCTCTTAAATGTGGGTAGGTTCAACTCAAAGATCCCTTTACCATTACTCTACCAGCCTCCCAGATGTTTTAAACTATAACTCCCAGCAGTCTTAGCCAGCATAGCTAAATCAGAGTTGACACGAAATATAGTCCAAAATACTTGGAGACTACATCAGGGTCAGGAAGGCTGCTGTAGCAATGGTGGGATCTTTATAGCCATGTTTGTTTTAGTATGTAACAGTACACTCGGATGTGTCTTTTCTGAAGAGGACTACCACTATTCTTGCCAATGTCAATTGAGAGGGAGGAAAAAGGAGAATGGGTTACTCAACTAGCACAGCTCAGGATCTAAAGCTTCCAGATTAATACTGTTACTACACTTGGGAGCTATATTTAGAGCATGGAAGCTAGTATGCTACAGAAAGGTATCCTGCACACCTTTGAGAATTGTGGACATACCAGTAAGACATGTTAAATAGTGATGGCAACGTAACAAGGCATGTTAATGAGTGAGGATTCCCTCAACAGATACAGGCAGATATGGAGCCTGTGCCCAATATTTACTAGGTAAGACACTCCCCTTATTTCCATTGTTAAGAGATATACTTGATGCAAGTAAAGTACTACTTTCATCTCAATAAGCTTATTGCTGGCTTAGTCTTCCTAAAGATATTTTAGTTTGAACTTTAAAATATGAATAAGATCATCAGCTGGAACCCTTGCATATTTAGAAGCAAGGTGGGTTACCACCCTAGCAGCCGATGCTGTACTCCTTTCAATGTATGAATTAATATGAAGATCACTTCTGGAACTCTGCACAAGAACACACTGTATTTTTAGTAGTAGTCAAGTAAAGTTTTAGCCATGGAAAGGCCCAATACTTCTGTCAAAGAAGCAAACTACCACTGTACTTAAGTCAATATAACTTATAGGGTTTGATTTGTAGTAACTGCTGTGGTATTGAAATTTTGAGTTTTCATTGCCTCTTACAAGATTCCAGTAGCTTACCTGAATTGAGTCAAACCCACAGTATTCTCTAGCAAGCTCTAACAGGGGAACCAGTGCCTGCAGTAAGAGGGTGGTACCACATGTCTTCAAAATGAAACGTCTCTTGGAGACAAACATGCTACTCTCACTGAAAAACAAGATTACATAAATAGGATTAATTTCATGCCTGCACAGTTTTGTGAAACTCAAAATCTATTTGACAAGAATTGGCCCATTAAAATTGTCCTTTCCACCTTTATTTTAAGAAATAGAGGGATCCACAAACCACAGACCTCTTCTCCCTTCAGCAAATTTCCTAGAGATCTTGCAGGGGGATTTCATCTCACAATGGGCTTTGGATCAGCAGTGCAACATGAGCAACTCCTTCTCTCCTTCCCTGCTAGAAAAAAGGGAGTCTCATGTGATGCTGAGCAGAGCACCTTTGTCCCCAGCAAGTTGATTTATGGAAGTCCCAGTGCAGGGATTGGAATACAATGACAATATTTATGTTCTGACTTAATACACAGCCGGTTGTGCCCGATGAAGTCAACATGATAGGTTTTTTTAATTAAACCAAGCTTTCTTTCCCTTAACATTTGATTGCTCAAACTAACTTGCCATATTGAGACAGGAGGCAAGAACAAAAAATCTACATGTTGGCTTCTCTAATCTTCCACTTTTTTTAAAGGGAAAAGCAGTCACATAGAGGGAAGAGAGAAAACTAATTGGAACAGGACTGTAATGCTGGGGAAGGGCTTCCTGGAATGAGTTTTCAATTTTGAATCACTCTTCCACATGCTATTTGTACCACAGAGAAAGATACAGAACCTGTATGTTTCCCCCATGACCCAAATATGAACTTCAAGGGAAAGATCTGAATTGGAAAAGAAGTGCATGTCAAGAATTTACTCCTCTCTTCTCCCACCTTACCTATAGGTAGGAGGAAAAAACTATGTCAAATAAGTTAAAATTTGTGCCAGTAAAATTAGTATGGTCAGGAGCCTTCAGTGCTCGGTTCAGGTCAAAATCACCATTGGACTATAAAGTTAACTGTCTCGCTTAGTGAAGTCACTATCTTGTGGCTTAGCTTTTCTTCACAGGATTATGTTAAATAAACAGTGCTCTAAGACCCCTGGACAGGGAGTAAACAAGATGAAATATAACAAACATGAAACTATTTTTTCAGCTATGGACTCCAAATATAGCCGCACCCATTTCTTTAGCTTATATTTGTATCCAGTGATACAAGAAGTCACATAAAAACCCACTCCCAGCAAGCTTAGTTTTGTAACCTGTAGTTCTATGACATTGTTGATTTCCTACCTATTAGCATGTGAACCTATTATCAACTGTCTGAGACCTTTATATGAAAGTTTACTATTTAATATTTAATCTCCTCTTTCTCCATGTTCTCCAGTGGTGACATCTTTCACTCTAAGTGCTCATGTGGTAGAAGAGACTGTCTATTTCTACCTTTGCTGCAAGTGCTCATCTGCTTTAATTATTAGTGAGGAGAATAGTGTAGCAGCATTAATGACCAATTATGTCAAATCTCTAAAAATTACAATTGCAATTGTTCAAAGTATTGGTGTTTAATTGCTTTATGAACTTGTAATCCTGCTTTATGTGTTTAAACTATGTGCTTAGAATGATCAAATAAAAAACACAAGTTTAATTAGTTACACATGTGCATACATGTGGAATACCAAATGCCTTGGTCATTATTAGGAAGTCTCCTGCACAGAAAGGGACCAAGAAATATTTTAAATAAATATTTAAATGAAAATAATAATCTGAAAGAGATGGCTATACAACTGCATACATTTGGCACTTTTATTTAAAAATGCATGAATCTTATGAAAAATTGAACTATGTCACCACACTACAGGGCTATGGTAGAAGATAGAAACTGCTTTTCCTTTCCCCTTTATCCAGCCCTAGATTCATTTTGTTTGTCAAGAGTCAATGTTATCACAAAAAAAAAATCCACCACAATATTCTGCTATGAAAAATATTTTACTATCTTCTGTATTTAAAGATGCACTGTTTCATAACATTAAGGGCATAAATATATAAAATTCCAATGTACCCAGTAGTTCCAAAGCAGTAATTAGCTTTTCTTAGTTAGCTCTAGCATTATGTTTCACTCACACATACCATCAGCAAATGGGGGAGCAGAATGCACAGTCCCATGTTCAACAGAAAGTAAAAATAGGGAGTTTATGATCAAGAATCCCAATACAAAACTTTTCTCCTATCCCGAAAACAGAGACAGGGACCACATATGCACACTGTTCGCCCAGTAAGATCATTTCATGTAGGCGCCCAACACTCTGGCAGGAGACTTATAATTTAAATGAAGAACAATCTGAATGGCAATCCCTCTGTTTTCTATCTTTTTAAAATTTATTTATACCCCACCTTTTTTCCTTTCATGAAATTAAATTACTTCCCTGACCTGCTGCAAGATCAGTTGGTGTGCTGTTGGAAGCATGGCTCTGTTGAGGATAATCAGAGTCATTCCCACAAGTTCTCTTTCCTAGCACAACCATGAAAGCAACATGGAGGAAATGGGGAGGGGGGTGCTGGAGGCCACAAGAGCTGCCCATCTACTTTTTTGATAATGTCTCCGCACCACAACACAATTTATGCACACTTCAGTTGAGATTTTATTGTTTCTTTAACACAATAATTGGGTAATTAAGTTAACAGACCTATCAGTTGAGTATATGATGAGACACAAATTAACTTTCACACTACTTTGTACTTTAGTGGCAAATGAGATTCCAGGTTTCTGTAAAGCTATGCTTTAAACCTTTATAAACAAGAATGTTGTAACCTTACCTGAGTACATAAGCTTCCTGCTTGTCAGTTTTTGTCACACTTATGATCAAACAATGCACATTCTCCAAAAGTTTGTCCCACTCAAACCTGTTAAAAGGATTAAATATAAACCTTTAATTCAAGTACAACCGATCCAATATTATCAGAACATTGGTATTTACAACTGAAGTAATAAATGGGTGGATACTACAGTCAAGTTCATAGCTAATTCCCAGGCATGTTTTCCCTTCTATCTAAATGGCCTATAGCAGGGTTCCACAATCTGGTGCTCTACAAATCTGTTGTATTATAGGTTGTAGATATCTGTGACAGACATCTACCCCAGACTGTTTAATGACAGTAACTTAATTACCAATTTCATCACAGCTTAAATTATTCATGCCTTTTAAAACTATTGAATAAACAAGGTGCAATTGATTGTAATACAACATGTGTCAAAACAGAACAGAAACCACCATTTATTTTTGTGAGCAGCTAGTAGCACCTTTTATTATAAACCATCTTATTATAGCCTTAACCATATCCAGGGTCAGCCAACATGTGTGGGTTCCAAAGCATAGTTCTAGCCAGCAAATATTAATCCTGCTATAGGATTGGATATCACCATCACTGGTAAAGCACCTGAACCAAATAATGCTCTCTAATTTTTATTTGTATCATAAGGTGAAATTATACTCAATATTTTGAAAATCCTACTGTGTTACTAAATACAAATAACTTTGAAGGTACTAATCAGGCAACCCGAATTTAGGTTATGCAGCCAAATTAGAGGGGGCTGCAACAAAAGCTTCAACTGCAGTAACGCATTTAAACAATTTAGTTTCCAATTATTACCACATGACCTGTATTATACTGTATTTAAAACAAGAAATATCTTTTTAGGCAATACCAGTTCTTAACCAGACCGATACAGTTTTTAGCCAAGAATTTAAAAAAATAAAAGTTATTTTTGTTCAGAACCAGTATGATATAGTGGTTAAGAGTGCTGGACTGGAACTCAGCAGATCTGGGTTCTAGTCTTCACTTGATCATGAAGCTCAGTGGATGGCTTTGTGCCAGTCACTGAATCGCAACCTAACCTACCTCACATGATTATTGTTGTGAGGATAAAATGGTGAGAAGAACCTTGCAAAGCCTCCTTGGATTCCTTGCAAAAAGAAGAAATATGGGATATAAATGTAATATAATAACAACAATAGTAACTAGTTCCTGTTTAATATAAGAAAAAGGCTTTGTACAAACCAAGGAGGCTTCTAACATTCATTCTGAGGTAAGGTTAAATGAGTATAACAGCAAGTCAAGAAACTAATTCAAACAAGCATCTCATCCAAACAAGCATCTCATCCTAAGTCCCAGCAGTTATTTGGAATCAATTCCAGTGGCATAATGGCTTCTAATATGTGGTTTGAAAGTCAGGTTGATGATTTGCCCAAAACTTTCCTACCATTCTGTTCAAAGCCACTTACAGGCAAGACATTCCAAACTGTCACTTGTGGCAGGCTGGAGACTTTTCTCTAGATCTAAAGGAAATCTGAGAGCAGGTTATCTGGAAAGGAAGTGTACTGTTCCTTGGAATTACTTGCTCTGCAAAACAAGTGAGAGGATTGGGCAGTTGAAGATGGCTCTTCTTCTCCCGAAGATACCAAAAGAGTATATTGCACAGGCCTGCTCATTTCCTTCCTTCATGATGCAAGCTCACCCTGATACTTTGTATAACCACCAATCCATAGGAAGTAGTATCCAGATGTGCACAACTAAATATTCTTGATTAACGGACAACTATCTTGCTTTGGGACCTATACCTTTTGCCTGGGTAGCTAAAGTTTATAGTCACTAATATTCTTTCCCTGTTCCTGAAAAGGTCTTGGAGGAACTTTTGTTTATGGTATCACACTGACCTTTGTTCTAAAGTGAGGTATGACTGCAGCAACAGGCCCCCATCACCACACAACAGAAGTAGAGTCAGATCCCTGTCTCATTGAAGGCACTCAGAAAACAGCAAAAAAATAAAAAAATCCTGATCAAGTCAATCTTACCTCTACTATCTTGTGCTCTACTTTTTTCCTATCTGCATTTCTCCATTCTAGACTACAGACAAAAACAGTATTTATCCTGCAAGGGTCTGAATACTAAAACGTACCCACATGCTAGTATTCCACAGTTCCACTGGTAACTCAGTATGAATGTAGTCAGTCATTACTAAGATAACAACATGCCACACTTTGCCTATAACTACTTAGTAAGACCTTTAACATTCCACTAAGTGATTAGAAAAAGCTCAGCATTAAAGACTAGGTGCTAAATGTTTTAAATAACTAAAGCACCATATGTAATTATCTCTCTATAAGGCACATGCACTCAAAATGTGGCAATTAGGAGAAACAGTGCCAGGAAAGAAATGAGAGGCACTGCCCTCTGAGGCAAACCCCTTTTATTTCTCACAACACAGCACACCCAATTGCTGTACTTTTCCGGGCAGTTTTGATAACCTGGAAGCTATATGGCTCATACTAAGCATGGATTGCCCCCCACCCCAGTGTACATTATCTAAGCCATGCAGTAGGCAGTAAGGTAGAGCATCCAAGAAGAATATACTCCTTCACTGACAAAATCCATGGTCTGATTTCTCTTTCCTGTGCTTCTGCAGGACTTGCAATGTTAGACAAAGACATGTATCCATGCCAGTTACCCATATCGGGAGTTCATTGCTTCAAGGAACATTAGCATGCCTGTATGGAGCAGAACAGGTCTGCCTGGTTTTGTGAACTTCAGTTTGGTGGCCAAAGGTTGAGCTATGTAGGAAAAAAAATGCTGCTGTGAGCCCCATAAGTCACTGGCTGACTAGAGAGAGCAATAGGTGTGGGTTGGTATGTATACCTGCTGGGAATGTGAGGGGTGTTTTTTTGTTTTTGTTCTTCTTGGCCATGAACATGTGGGATAGCATGGGTGGCTACAAGATGTAGCTCTGAAGAAATACTTTTGTATTTCTGTGTAGATGATAATTATTACAAGTAATGTAAAGTTGTGGATTTTGAATGTTTTCAGAACTTGCTGTTGGGTTCCAAATACAGTTTTTCTGTGTTGTTTCAAGAATATGATTTTGTTTTGTGTAGATTCCCTCTGGGCTTCCCTGTCCCTATATTTTGCACTCATGTTCCTGAAGTCGTAAGTCACTTGATTATTTGCACAATGGGAGTTGTTGCAGGAACAGAATGTTAGTCCAAAAGAGTGCTTTTGTGGGTTTGCATGGACATGGAGGGGCATGTAAATAGGCAAATCTGAGAAGCCAGGTTTGCAAGGTATGCTTTCCTCTCTATTGCAATAGGTTAAATACAAAAGACTAGATTTTCAATATTCTCACTACCTGCTCACCCATGCACACATCTGAATAATGTAGCCATTTGTACACATGACCCAAAAACTAAGTTGAAAAAATGGGATCCAGGTTTGGAGTAGGCCATATGTAAACCAGAATGGAGAAGTCAGTGTTAATTAGCAGGACAGGAGTATTTTACAGTTCTGACCAAAAATCAGAAGTAAAATTGCTAAACCTAAAAATTGCTATTGTGTCTTAAAGATAATGTGCTTCACAAGCAGAGAAGTTGCCCTTCAAATATTATTTCTACATGCTCTAGGTCTAATATTTTAATTTGGGAGAAGCAATGTTCAGGTTCCTATTCTGATGTCTGGCTCTATTACAAGAAGGAGTGCTTATTGTCCTTTAATATGAAACACTCCATTGATTCACAGTCAATGGTATTTTTATACAGAAGGGAACATCACTTAGTTAGTGGTACTTGATACCAACTGTTACTCATGCTCCCATGTGTGAATAGGTGATTATAACCCTCACTAATGACTATGTGGAAACAGAACAATTTCTCTACAGAAAGCTAAATGAATATATTCTTAATATATTACACTTAAGGTATGAATACTGAAGTTTATCACTGATATTGAGATGCAAATATCTAAGTGGAGGTCTTTGTTAAAACTTATTACAGAGAAGGGGCACCAGGGCTAGGAAATTTCAGACATTTACAGACAAAACTTTAGGCTTAGGAAATCTACCTGCAGCACAGGCACTCACGTAAAATCACAGTAAGACAAAATATTTAAATGTTGCAGATCAAGGAATTAAATCAGTTCCAGGTTTGTCTAAGATACTTTTAGAGCCACTTTTATTCTCTAAGTTTAATATATGAACAAAATCAAGAGTACAGATATAACCATAAGAAGTGTAACTTTACACAAACCAATCAATTAAAGGTACTCAATGGTTATCCCAAGACCATGAAACTCAATGGATAATCTTAGGTTAGGCTGAGAGTGACTGCCCCACTACGAAGGATGGCTGAGAAGATAAACTTGAAGTGGGTGGTCAAGGGGAGTCCACATATACTGCACTGTGAGCTGCTTCAATGAAAGCATACAGAAATGCAGTAAGGAATGTATATTCTACAGGTTTTCTAACCATCCCTTATACTTTGGGACACATTTGATATTTGTAATGCTTGTTCTTGCATCTTAAATAGGTCATACATACTTGTTGACAGCTAACTACACAGTTAGAAAGCTTTCTAGTTCAGAAATACCTAGCAGGAAATTATGTACTAGTGACCAAACACTAGGTTAGCAGCCCTAATTGATAGTTGTAATTGAGAAGCTGATCCCTCATTAAAGAATTATTAACTTCAAGGATTTCTCATTATGTTTAATAGTTTAAGCAGCAAGGTGTCTCTTAGGGTTTGCTCCAACCCACATGCAATGGGGTTTCTCTGACTTCTCTCTGCAGCCCTTTTGCATATATCCCAGATTTGGAGGGTGCCCCAAGGGAAATCTACAAAAGATTCCTTTCTGCTTAAGGACCACCACCCCTGCATTCAACCCTTCATTTGTAGTAAATACCAGTGATCTAATCACTGAACAAAGTAACTGCTGCTGGACACTAAAGTGCAGGTAAGACAGCCCACCTTTTGACATAGTAACTTGATGCTATAAATAATTCCTATTTGCTTCAATTAGACACTCAGATCAACTGTATCAATTAGTTCACTTCAAGCTTCTCTGACCAGGCAGTCTGCTATCTGGAGATAATGGAAACTGTAGTCCTACACATCTCGATTGATACTAGGTTAGGAAAGCTTGGACTAGAGCAATGATCTTTCAAGGGGCTTACTTTCCTTGAAATGTAACCCTAAAACAGCACATAGGTAGGTCCTGAGAAAATAGAAATTTGTCTTTAAGTAGAGTTTGTACCTAAGTCAGATCAAGTATAGTCGGCTCTCCACATTCATGGGGGCAAGAGGCATACAGCTTCTGTGAAAAGTGGAAAAAACCTAACTATCTCTAGACTCTTTCCCAAGCTCTAGACTCATCAGTGCCTCCTCCTTGCAGCAAGGAAATGCAAGAGATTTCTCTCTCTGGGTGGGCAGGGCTGGAAGGCATGCTTTGAAGGCAGCCCTCTCACCTTTTGCTTCCCTTCTCTCTATGGTGATGATTTTTCACAGATGTTTTTAAAATGAATAGGCTTTATGGCAAGTTGTTTGTAAGTACAGGTTATCTGTAACTTGGGGACTGCCTGTATTAAGAACATCAGTGTGCTGATGAATCCTACCAAAGGCTCTGGTGTTGCATTTTGTTCCTACAATGGCCAACTAGTTGCCTAAAATGTTTCCCTTCACACAATCTGGGCAGCCATTGTAAAACCCAAAACAAATGAACTTTTATCAGTTACAGCTCTTAAAATAAATTAACTCTTGAAAACAGCTTTCTCTAGAAACTCATGCTGACCTATAATTTGCCAAACCAACGGAGGAATAAACTACCCGTGCAATGGTTAAAGAATTAAAAGCAGAAACATCCTGTCCCAAGAAAGCACAGACATAATAGTTTTGTTAAGGGCAGCACTGGCTGCACTCTGAAGCTTTTTAAGGCAAGTCCTATCTCTGTTTCAAACAAAGTAAGAAAAATATAAAAACATGTAACACTTCAAGGCAAAATGCTCCCATATCCACTCATACTTCTTTCTCCTCCAGATATACCCTGCAGAGGCAAGCAGCAGTTTTAAATAAACCTGGCCCCCATTAATTTGGTGTCTTGTGTTTCCCACACTTCTAGTTCCTTCTTCCTAGACTTCACTTCTTCCAGAAGTCCTTCCTTTCCATACCTTACCTTTCCACTAATGTTCACTGTTCAGTTATGCTGCTCAATATGCTGAGAAACTAAGCATGCTAACCTTCTACTTTGCTCACTGACTCTCTCAGTGTGTCTCCCCCATGCACTTTCTCATTAGGTGCACATGCAACCAAATCGGAGCTGGCAAGCAATGCCAGTAGAGAAGTGCTCACAACATAAAACCACACTCAGGGCAATTGGGAACCATCAGTGTCCTCACAGTGAAGAGCACTGGTTTAGTCAGGTTGTTCAACAGTTTTTGTAATAGACCAGAGACTGAAACTGATGCTTGCAAGGTCACCCCAAGTCAGTTATTGATATGAAAAGTAGTTGTTGTGTGTTTGCTCAAGGGAACAGACAGTAAGTGTACTGAGTAGGAAATAGGAAGGCAAATAACAATGATTAGCTTCATGTCCAAGAAAGTCATATAGGAGAAAGACTAGCACTGAAAATATCTCAAAGTGATCTCTCACATTACCAACTGGCCAATTCTAAATAGTTCAGCTTAGTACAGGTCTCACACTAAATACTACCCAACATATTCCTTTATATCTTCTCTCATTTATTTTTGCAGTTTCATTCAGCGTGCACAGCATACTTTCAGACTAGATAATGGAACAGGCTATGATAGCACAAGCTCCAACGTGCAATACAAAAACTGTTATAAGCTCCAATGTGCAATACAAAACCTCCCCTCCTAATGTCCTTTATGGAATTTCTGAACAAAATATAGATCTTAAAGCAGCTACATCAACTGATTGTAACCTCAATCTCATATTACTAAGAGGAGACATCAATTATCGTTAATCTGGATGCTTCACAGGAAGAAACTACCAATAAATTGTTTCAGTATGTTGGGTGGTCTTGAGGGCAAATTCAGTGTGTAGAGAGAACTCATTTTATTACTTTATGAAAAGTCAAAGAATCACAGTAACTTTCTCACAACTTATTCAGCCTTTAGCTGCTGAAACAGCTAAGTGTTTCTTCCCATTTCTCATTCTGACACCTAAATGACAATCCAACATTGAATAAGAAATTTTAAAATATATCAGGAACCTCATGGCATGTACAAAAGATAACTATGGTAATTGTAAGGCAAATTCATGTTAGTTTATAGAACATTTACTAGACCAAAGTATTTTTTTAATGTGAAGGCATTAAAATGTGCACAGAATTTTTTAAAAATGTGCAAGATTTTCAGAATTAGGCAAGATGTCACACAAAAAATGAGTTCACAAGATAAGGGGTGGTAAGACTTTATAAGTCACAATATCTGATATTCAAAGTCCCAAGATTAAGAAGGGTCAGAGGGAGTCTGTAAGTCATGTGACAGTCAAAGGCTGCACTTTAACTGTAACCCAAAAACCAAGGGGGGGATCCAACATTTTCTTCTTCCCAAGAAACAAAGGGGTACTGCAAGTCCAACTTGTAGTTATTACATGCCCTGCAAAATCTAATTTGAGTTGCTGCAGACCCCTTCTCCTGCACTTCATCTTGAGACTCTGGCACATCCAGACACTGATTTCACTATCAAGTCAGACTTTCCTCAATCATAGAATAGTAGAGTTGGAAGGGGCCATGAAGGCCATCAGGTCCAACCCCCTGCTATTGCAGGTCACCAATTTACACCATCCCACTCAGATGGTTGTCCAGTCTTTTTGAATTAAATCACTTTAATTACTTCATCATGCCAGTTTTAAAAGTTCACTCATTTTTGTGAGCAGGTTTAATAAAGGTATCATAATAATGCAGATTATAGCAACTAGTTCATAGTTGTGTGAGTTATCTGAAGAGCCCTCCTTGCTCACTTCTATCTTTTGTTTCAGTCAGTCTTGTCACAGTTCCCAGCTCCCAATCTTATGCTTAGCTAAGCCCATGTTAAATTCTTCTGAACCTATCCAAGAGGCCACTGTCCACACATAGCACAAGGAAAATGCAAGCACGTGAATATTTAAGCCTGTGCAGAGCTCAGCCCTTCCCCCAACTTCTCTGTTGGCTGAGCTGGCGCTTCCTCCACATTCCTAAAATGCCCACTGGATGACAGCCCCAGGCCCAACCCTTAAAACGATGCTGCAATCTCATTGGCCTGCGCTTGTCAATGGGGAAGGAGAGGCCACTTCAACTGGGGCTTGAGCCAGAAACCTCACGTGTTTATTTCTGTTCCAGCCACATTTTTTAAAAGATAGGAGGGGCCTCTCCTTCCCCTTCTCCGCACAAATAAGGGCCCCAAACGATTGCCTAAGCTCGTGCTCTCCTCGCCAGACCTACTCCGTGAGGCCCAGAATATTATACCTAGCTCATTAGCTAAACATAGCCCTTCCAGCTCCCCAACTACTCATGGCAGAAACAGACCTCCATGGGAGAATCGTTTTACAAATAGCTAGGTGACTCGATCAGCTCTTCCACAGAGCCAAATTCTGGGGCAGAAGGGGCAACTCATCAGAACATGGTCCTAGCGTTCTGCTGTCAGGATCAGAAGGCCTAGCTGAAACCACAGCGTGAGGAGTGAAAATGCAAGCATTAATTCTGCCAGGCAGCCGCTACTGAACCATGTGAGGGCAGATACGGGTAAAGGTGTATATTGTCCAGCAGTGGCTCATCCTGTACTCACACACTTCTCACGTGCATTACAAGCCACGTCTTTTCTCCAGAACGCAAGTGATGAAAAACGTTTATTCAATGTAATTCGATAGAAATTGGTTTATGCGCAGCCGAACTGTTGCGATCCGCTTACGCGGGCGAGTGCTTTGCCGGTGACCCTGCGGCGTGTTTGAATCCAGGTACCTTAGAGTCGCCAGCGCCTCCCGCTCTTTCCTGCAGGCCCAAGCAACCATCTCTTTCCCACCCGCCTGTTGCTTGAGCAGGATGATTGCATACAGACTAATTCTCACAATCTAGTTCTGCCCGAGGAGGGAGCGAGAAAGAGGGAGCGAACATGCTGCCGGCGAAAGCACCTCCAAGAACACGTTGTCGAACGAAACCCCGCGGCCACGAGGTCACAGATGGAGCTCGGTTAAATTTAAGAGGGCCGGCGCGGAAGGTCACGTTCCGCCCTAAAAAGGTCGTAAGACCGACTGCCTTTTCCACCGCTACGTTCTCCCGCCAGGCCAACTTTTTCCCAGAGCGTCGGCCTGGTTGAAACTCGGCCCTAGGCCTGTCTCCAACCGTCGCACACGGAAGCGGGGCCCGCGTGTCACGGGCACATTAGTGACCGTTAGCGGCAGCGACGACAATGGCTCGCCCTCCCACTCCCGCCTCGCCCAAGAAACTCGAACATGTCGCTTCTGGGCTCGCCCTCCTGGGGCTGCCACCGTCTCTCTCCCCCTTCTGGAGAAGGGGCAGCCCCGTATCGTCCCTCCCTTTTGTCGCACACACATGGAACCTCGCTCTGAATGGAGCAGCCGCCCGCCATGCCCTTCCCCTTTACCGGCCATTAGCCTCTACTTCCCGCCCAGCGGTGCCGGCGTCACACCCGTCGCCTGCCAGTACATGTGCGCCACCAGTCGGGCATATTCTCCCACCACTTCACGAACTCATCCATGTTTCTTCCCCCCCGCCCTCCAACAGACCTTCCCTTTGCCGCTCCGACTGGCTCTTTCGCTCTCCCCCCGAGAGGCTAACCTGGGAATGGTGCGGAGGTCGCCGGACCCGTTGCTCTGGTGCGGCTCCTGCGGCGAGGGTTGTTGCCAGGCGAACCACACCTCCAGTAGCTTCTCAGTCCCTTCGAAGAAGTGTGCACCGTTCTCCTCCATCATGGTGAGACAACTCCGCAAAACCAACAACCACAGAAATTAAACGACAGACACCCCCAACCAAACTACCACTACTGCTGCTGTCGCCGCCGCCCTCCTTCCTCCGCACCTACACCGGCTACAGCTGGTATTACTGCTGCTTCTGACCGGGGCCGCAGCCGTCTTCACGGGGTCTCAGCCCGTCCCAAGCAGGTTTACCTTCGAAGGGGTAGTAATCTTATATTAAGCTATAAGAAAAAATACATACATATATATATATATGTATTATATATATACCAGCAAGCGGTTGCGGGAAAGGTGGCGGGTTGTTAAAGAGTCCTTTTGGGGTGGGGGAAGAAGGGAGGTGGAAGGAAAGAAGTGCGGAGTAGGCAAGCGTGCAGGCGATGCGGTTCGGTTCCTTGTATTCCGTGTGTTCCCCTGTTACAGAGAAAAGCGTTGAGCGAGCGCTAGCTAATGTCGCCGGCCATACTGTGGAAGCGAAGGGAAGAAATCGCGCAGCAGCTTTTATATGCACACAGGTACTGGGGATAGTGCCGCCATTGGGTTCTTGTCTGTTAGTCCCGCCCATCCCTTTCACCTATAGGGTACCCGAGCTGTCTCACAGTCAGCATGGGCTTGCACTGTGGCGCTGACGGTTCCAGCTCCCCAGACGGAGGCAACGTTCCAGACTGGCACACGGGGCGCAAGCCAAGTATCGAATGAATGTGCGATAGCGGGAGGGCGAATGCAGTGGGAAGCATAGAACAGGCTACAGAGAATTCACACAAATAGCATAAAGTGTGTTTGTGGGTATAAGAGTGTATGGGGAGGCCTGTTCATGAGAGAAGCGGCGCTGCAGCTTGAAAGAGCGTCTTAGTCTCCACAACTGCTAAGGGCCTGGGACGTTCGGCTGGGATCTTCTGAAATATGGGGATCTGAATGCCGAGTAAAGGGAGGACAGCGACGTATGTATGAATGTGTGAGGGAAGCGGGAAGCATGCATCTGTGAGAAACGAGAAGGGAAGCCTAGTCTGTTATTTGGTACAAGGGTCTGGGTCTGTATATTTGAATGAAATGAACCACTGAAGACTTCAGAGTAAGCCTCTATAGAATCGGAAGAAAGGGGAAATTTGTGTAGGAAACTTGTATCTTTAACTGAAATGGCAGTTAAAGTGTTTTGCCTCCTGAAGCCAGCTAAAGTGCTGCATTCCCATCAAATTGGTGGAATCCTGTCAGTGGTATATGACAGGTATGAACCCTACCCCATTTAAGACCGTATACAGGCCTTATTAAAGAATCATTGAAGCAAGATCCAACAGCAGTGTAGACAGTGCAATCCAGTGCACGTGCACTTGGCAGTACAATCTATTGTGTTCAGTGGTGCTTACTCCCTAGTAGGAGGTGTGATTAGGATTGCAACCTGTTTGTGGTATTGCAAGTCCCCTTTCAATGATAACTAAGCAATAATCCCTGAGTCTGCAAGAATGTCATAGGTAGGGGAATATACCTCTTCACATCTAGATACATAGTTTATACAGCATGAAAAAGGGAATGTGTGCATGTTTATAATAAATAAAACAAAAGATTCATAATATAACAGGGAATCCAGTGCAAGTCAAGGGAATAGCTAAGCAAGAATATTCACAGTGGAACTGTGCAGTGAGAGGGTATGCAAATAATTCTTGTGCTCATTGTATGACAGGAAAGCTCCAGTATTTGCCTTCAAAACTTGTCATCTTACACAGCAATCACAATGACAATTTGCCCACTGTCTGAGGTGTTATATTCCCCCAGATGAAATACAGTGCAGCTGAATTCTGGGAATATTCAATAACTTGGCTACAGAAGCACAACCCTCAGGGAGGACATATGGGCTATGTGCAACAAATGAGAAACACACACAGATTTATTACACAAAAAGAAGCAGCAGCAAGTCCTGGCTTTAACAAAGTAAGAAAGGACTGACTAACATATATCCATACCATCTTCATTAATATGCACTATGAATTAATTCAGTTAAAAACCAAGTATTTTCTCATAACTGAACAGTGTGTATATAAGAGGCTGAAGCAGGGGGAACAGGTAGACTTTTTTCACTTAGGAAAACTGTAAGACAACACACAGAATATTATCCTGAATCTCAGACTAGGGAAATCTGGTCTCTTCCATACTGAAAGTGGAAGATATTAGTACAATTAGTACAATTATCTTATCATTGTATTAGTACAATGGGAAGTGAGACTATATGTATTTTCAGACAAAGCTTTATTTGTCTGGAAAAGACTAGGTTAGTGGAAGATAAAAGTATCTTACAATACGCCTAATATGTGCTGCATGGGAAAGAAGAAAGATGTGTCAAAATTACTATGCTTGAAATATAATGTACACAGTACAGTTTAGAGATGAAAATATTACAACTAGAATTAAAAGGTGTGTTCATGAGAAGTGTATTGAATCACTGCCTTTACAGAAAGGCTATTACTCTTCCCTTCCCTACACATCCTTAATATTAAAGGCCAGTTTAGATGTAATGTTTCTTGCTACATGATGTAACAAGCTACAATTATCCTTCAGCTTCTACAGTCCCTTCCAGAGGAAGAGATCAGAAGCACATGCTTTCAGTCTTAAACTTATCACATGTGAACATTTGTATAGTTTCTTTAAACTGTGATTGGTAAGATGCAACTGGACAGCCATCTGAGAGGGATGGTTTAACTGGGAGTCCTGCACTGAGCAGGAGGCCGGATCCAGTGGCCTTCTGGCCCCTTCCAAGTCTACTATTCTATGATTCTATGAAAACAATCCAGTTCAGATTATGGTTTGCATCCTGGCCTGTTCACAAAACAGTGGCCCACTTCACACAATCATGGCAACTTTAACAACCCACATTTAAGTTTGTTATATTATTTGTTCTCAATATGGTTGTTAGTTGCTTTGAAAGTTTGTATTGGCAAAGTAGAATATAACTTTATAATATAAATTTAAAATGCAATAAATTAAGCAAATGATTTTTTTCTTTCGTGCTTGAATTAGCAGTATTCAGAAGCGATGCTTTCCTATTGAAACAATGTAATTTTAAAAGCATTTTCTTCATTCTCAGCTGAGCATTTGTGTAAACAGGTTGCTTGCCTGTTAACTGTAGTTCTTCAATAGTTGTATGTGCATTCACATATATGGGCCCTTTAGACTATGCACCTATATATTTTGACTTTCTAAAAGGGAAATTCCTGATCATTTGCATCTCTTTGCAGAATTGAATAAAAATTCCAGGGGTAGTTGCCCCATCCAAGTAGAACAAGCCTGCCAAATCTCAGAATGTAGCTACAGAGGGATTTGTGCAAGGGCAGTGCTGACATTTTGAATCTTTCCAAAAAAGGATGTGCTTATTTTCTTTAGTTATAGTGTTCTGAAACTGACACAAAATCTAGAGATGTCCCCAGGTAAGAAATATACAAAGTTTGAGAATGATTCATTAGAAATTTTGAAGAGAGAAAGTGATTTGCTTCTTATTTCTTCCCTTCATGCTTTTGGAGACATTGAATTAAAATGGTACAGATCAGGGGTCTCAAACTCAACTGACCTGGGGGCCTCTGGAAGTAGAGTCTGGGTGAGGCTGGGCCACATCAAGTATTCCACCACCGCGGCGGTGGTGGGCTGCTCATCCCGCGTTGCTCCCGTAGGCCGGCCCGGGTGCCGCAGGCGCTTTGAAGGCTGCAGGGCCCCTCCCCCGTGCCCCACCCGTCCCGGCAATTGGGCCGCGAGTTTGAGACCCCTGCTACAGATCATAGAGGGCATTGAATAACAATCTCTTGGTCCCATCCTTGTTTCATTGCAAAACACAGGGAATTTCAGGAGAAAAGCTTGTGTGTGTGTGTGTGTGTGTAGTACATATTACTGTCATTAATAAATACTGTCAAAGTGCAAAATTTACTGCATGAAACTAGGCAATCAAGTTTCTAAAATTCACTCTGGGAGAATAAGAACTAAGGTGTGCTACCTAATGAGAAACATAGCAAGAGGCACAGAGAAAAACAGGGGAATATGGTTAATGCATAAACACAGACACTAGAAAGAACAGCAGGAACTATGTTCAAATTATTTCTTTTTTTTCAAAATAGGGGAGAGGAAAATGGATTCACTTATTAATTTAATAGAAAGACACAAAGACAGCAACATTGAACAATGAATAAATCAAAGGGTATCTCCAAGAGATTTTGCAGATATAAACCTAAGAGAAGAAATGAGTTAAAAAAACCAAAACAGTGAACTGTGAAAACTTGAAGCCCCACACCAACACACAAGAACCAAGAAGTTCACATCTCATTACCAAGCTGCTACACTGTACAATTGAGAGAAAAAGGAAGGCAGTAAGAACTTTATTAAAACACTCAAACATAATATCTCCTCCAAACCACAGCAACTTGAAGCCCTTGCTAAAATGTGCCTTTTTACTCAGATTAGAAGATAGGCTTTTAAGTCACTCAGTTGCATTCCTTCCTTCTATCCAATGTTTTAGAGAAACAAAACAAAATTCTTTGCAGGGATATTTGGTAACAAAGGCTAAGTTGGCACTAGTTTCAGTTTTAATGGGAAACTCAATTCACTTGAAGAAACGTCAAACAAGTCCTAGTTACTGTCCTGTAGAAAGGCTTCCTAGAACAGCATTAGTTTGTCTGATAAGTGCTCCCATTCTAGTCGTGCTATACTTAGACACTGTTTAAAAATTATTCTACGAGCTTTCCTGAGGAATCTACAATGTGATGATTTGCCATAATAGTCCTACATTAAAATTAGAGTATTCTAAATTATTTCAGTGTAACATAGATACTTCTGTGATTTGGAGCCAGGCTACCAGAATGATTCTCTCATATATGTACTTACCTGAATACCAAGATCATTTTCAGAGGTCATTCTTCAGGTGCCTGCACTGAATGAGGTGAGACAAGTGGCTACCTAAGTAAAGGCCTTTCTGGTGGTGGCAAAACCCCTTCCTAGAGAGGTTCACCTGGTGATTTTCAGATCTTGCACTGTTGCTAACTTTCTCTCTGATTTTACTTTGGCTTTATTCCATTTCAATGTTAAAGTTTATGTCTTTCTGTTTTAAGGTTTTAAGTTTTTTTGTGAATTGCCCAGAGACTTTTGGCTATTGGACTCTATGGAATGTACTGAAATAAAAGATGAAGTCTATTTCCATTTACACCTAAGCAGCTAGTTGAGTTTTGTCTTGTGTTTATTTCCAAATCTTTCCTTTATAGTTCAGCTAGCTATCACTGTTGAGGTATGTTAGTACAAAGATCTTGAATACACTTTTGATTACTATAAGTAGACTATGTTCAGAAATTTTGGAAGGCAAAATTTGCAAAAAGAATAGAAGTCAGAAGGTCTGATGTTTTTCTGAAGTGTATAAAAACCCTTTAATAACCTATGTGTTATGGCTTCACCCATGGTAAATATTGTTTACTGCTACAACTGCAGCCTTCCCTTTTGAGTTGTTACATTCAAC